TGGGGCCGGGGCTGGGGCTGGGGCTGGGGCCGGGGCTGGGGCTGGGGCTGGGGCTGGGGCTGGGGCCGGGGCTGGGGCTGGGGCTGGGGCCGGGGCTGGGGCTGGGGCTGGGGCCGGGGCTGGGGCTGGGCTGGGGCTGGGCCGGGGCCGGGGCCGGGGCCGGGGCCGGGGCTGGGGCCGGGCAGAGGGGGACACAGGCCTCCGGTCCCTGCAGGGGCATTGTCACCGGCATCTACACCACCAGCTCGCCCGAGGCCTGCCGCTACATTGCCCGGGACTGCCGTGCCAACATCATCGTGGTGGACGCCCAGAAGCAGCTGGAGAAGATCTTGAAGGTTGGGGAGCCGTGGGGGTGGAGACCGGGGGTCCTCAGGGGCGTCTAGCCTGCAGGGAACTTCCCACCCCCTTGCAGAGTCCCTTTTGTTGGGGGGTCGAACCCTGGGTTCGAAACAAGACCCCCGGAGGCTGAGGATTGATTAAAAAAAAGCAGGCGAGGGTTTATTGAAAAACTGGCCAGGACGGCCGCCAGAGCGCCACACGCAGGGGGACTCCACACTCACAACTGCACCGGGGCAGGTGTAGGCAGTCCCTTTGAAAGGTCCAAACCACAGGAATTTCCCTTTTTTTTTTTTTTTTTTTTTTTAATACATTTTATTGAATTTTTACAGAGAGGAAGGGAAAGAGATAGAGAGCTAGAAACGTCGATGAGAGAGAAAGATCGACCAGCTGCCTCTTGCACACCCCTACTGGGGATGTGCCCGCAACCAAGGTACATGCCCCTGACCAGAATCGAACCCAGGACCTTTTGGTCCGCAGGCCGACGCTCTATCCACTGAGCCACAAAGGTTTCGGCAGGAATTTTCCTTTGTTCTGAATTTTCTAAATTCTAAAGGCTGGGTGGACGCTGGGAGGTGGCCCTCTCTTGCGATAGCAGGTAGCACAGAAGCAGAGCTCAGCAGTTAGTCTCTAAAGGTTTTCTGTAGTTTCTACCCCTGAAGCTACCGAGTCCATGGGAATCCACCTCCTGTGGTCCTGGCCCACAGGCACGGGGAAACTGCCTCAGCCTCCAGGTCTCCACCTGGGGAAGCTGAGGCCAATATCCTGTGTTTCATCAGCTGCAGGCGGAGCCAGGCTAGAAGGGTGAAAATTCAAACAGCAGTGTTGACCCAAGTATGGTTGCTGCCATATTTCACCCTTCATCCTCAGTCACCCCTGTGCACGCGCAGACCCATTTGCCAGATGGGAATACTGAGGCCAGGGAGACGCCTCTGCGGCATCAGGGCCAGGGCCAGGGTCCCATGCCCGGGGAAGGGCCGTGTGCCCCCATGGGTGGCACAGGGCGCTGACACCCTGGGCCCTCCAGTCTCAGTCCCGGGCACGGGGCGAGGGGGCCGCAGGGAAGCTGTTTTGGGGCGTCTGGAGATGAGGAGTGACAGGAGCTGGGAGCCTCCTGAGCCGGCTGGTCTCACCTGGAGGGGTCAGGCCGCCCCGACAGGCCCTGTCCGTGTGCCCCACATGTGTGCGAGGCGCCAGCTCCCGGCCACAGGGACGATGAGCTGGGACCCTCTCTCCTGGGCACAGGGACCTGGTGTGTTTTTTTTGTTTTTGTTTTGTTTTGTTTTGTTTTAAAAATATATTTTATTGATTTTTTTACAGAGAGGAAAAAAGAGGGATAGAGAGTTAGAAACATCGATGAGAGAGAAATATCCATCAGCTGCCTCCTGCACGCCCCCCACTGGGGATGTGCCCGCCACCAAGGTCCATGCCCTTGACCGGAATCGAACCCGGGACCCTTCCGTCCGCAGGCCGACGCTCTATCCACTGAGCCACACCGGTTTGGGGGTTGGGATCGGGACCTCAGCCCACCCCCGTGTCTCCGTGCTCCTCAAGCCACAGGTCCTGACCAGCAGCCTCGGTGCCGCCTGGGAGCTGGTTACAAACGGGGGTTCCCCGGCCCTGGCCGGTGTGGCTCAGTGGGTAGAGCATCACCCTGCGGACTGAAGGGTCCCCGGTCAGGGCACAGGCCCGGGTTGCGGGCTCCATCCCCAGTGTGTGGGGGGCGTGCAGGAGGCAGCCAGTCTGTGATGCTCTCCTCATGGATGTTTCTCTCTCTCTCTCCCTCACCTTCCTCTCTGAAGTCAATAAAAGTAAAAGATAAAAAGAGCCAAAACTGGCGTGGCTCAGTAGATAGAGCGTCGGCCTGTGGACTGAAGGGTCCCGGGTTCGATTCCGGTCAAGGGCATGGACCTTGGTGGCGGGCACATCCCCAGTGGGGGGCGTGCAGGAGGCAACTGATCGATGACCCTCTCTCATCAATGTTTCTAGCTCTCTATCCCTCTCCCTTCCTCTCTGTAAAAAAAATCAATGAAATATATTAAATTAAAAAAAAAAAGATAAAAATAAATGTGGGTCCTCAGACCCCATCCCAGACCCAGAAACTCAGGGTGGGGGCCCCCTGGCTGCATCCAGCTCCCCCTCCCCCTCAATACGCTGATGCGGGCTCGAGGGGGAGCCTCCAGAATCGGGGTCACCAGCCTCCCAGGCCCGCAGCTCCCTGCCGGCTGTGCCGGAGAGCACGTGGGTGTGCGTTCCAGGACGGACCCTGTGGGCGGGCGCTCCCTGCGGGCGGTGCTGCCACCCTCCCCTGGCACCGCCTCGCGGGCAGGTGAGGGCAGGTGGAGATGCTGCAATTCCCCGTGGTCGCCCGTGACACGGGCTCGTCCACGTGAGGTCCCCGTCCGCCTTCCTCGCTCATGACCTTTGTCGGAATTAATTATCTCCTGAGCAGCAGCCTCCTTTCCTTAGCTTTCTTTCTTTTTTTAAAAAAATATATTTTATTGATTTTTTTACAGAGAGGAAGGGAGAGAGATAGAGAGCCAGAAACGTCGATGAGAGAGAAACATCCATCAGCTGCCTCCTGCACGCCCCCCACTGGGGATGTGCCCGCCACCAAGGTCCATGCCCTTGACCGGAATCGAACCCGGGACCCTTCAGTCCGCAGGGTGATGCTCTATCCACTGAGCCAAACCAGTTTCGGCCGCTTTCATCTCTGTCCTCCAGGGGGCTCTGTGCCTCCCGACACCCCCCTCGGGGCAGAGCAGGGGGCGGGGGCTGGCGAGCGGCATCGTGGTGAACAGGAAGTCTGTCTGATGGAGCCCCACCCAGGTTGCGTTTGTTTATTTTAAGACACTTTTATTGCCTGAACCGGTGTGGCTCAGTGGATAGAGCGTCGGCCTGCGGACTGAAAAGTCCCAGGTTTGATTCTGGTCAAGGGCATGGACCTTGGTTGCGGGCACATCCCCAGTGGGGGGCGTGCAGGAGGCAGCTGATGGATGATTCTCTCTCATCGATGTTTCTCGCTTCCTCTCTTTTCCTCTCTGTAACAAAATCAATAAAATATAGTGTAAAAAAAAATATTTTTTTAATTGATTTCAGAGAGGAAGTGGGGGGAGAGAGAGAGAAACATCCATGATGAGAGAGAATCATGGACATGTCCCTTGGTTGCGGGCACTGGGGATGTGCCCGCAACCAAGGGACATGCCCTTGACCGGAATCAAATCTGGGACCCTTCAGTCCGCAGGCCACCGCTCTATCCACTGAGCCACACCGGCCAGGGCTAGGTTGGTTTTTTTTTTTTTTTACCAATTGAAAGCGAGACCCTCCACGGCACAACGGTGACGGCTGGCGTGGCCGTGTCACACTGTGTCACTCCGTGTCACTCTGTGTCACTCCGTGTCATTCTGTGTCACCCCATGTCACTCCGTATCACTCCGTGTCACTCCGTGTGACTCCGTGTCATTTCATGTCACTCCGTGTCACTCCGTGTCACTCTGTGTCACCCCGCGTCACCCCGTGTCACACCATGTCACTCCGTGTCATTTCATGTCACTCCGTGTCACCCCGTGTCACCCCATGTCACTCCATGTCATTTCATGTCACTCCGGTCACCCCGTCTCACTCCATGTCACTCCGTGTCACCCTGTGTCATTCCGTGTCACCCCGTGTCACTCCATGTCATTTCATGTCACTTCGTGTCACCCCGTGTCACTCCATGTCACTCCGTGTCACCCTGTGTCATTCTGTGTCACCCCGTGTCACTCCATGTCATTTCATGTCACTTCGTGTCACCCCGTGTCACTCCATGTCACTCCGTGTCACCCCGTGTCACTCCGTGTCACCCCGTGTCACTCCGTGTCACTCCGTGTCACCCCGTGTCACTCCGTGTCATTTTGTGCCACCCCGTGTCATTCCATGTCATTTTGTGTCACCCCGTGTCACTCCGTGTCACCCATGTCACCCCGTGTCACTCCGTGTCACCCCCGTGTCACTCCGTGTCATTTTGTGCCACCCCGTGTCATTCCGTGTCATTTTGTGTCACCCCGTGTCACTCCGTGTCACCCATGTCACCCCGTGTCACTCCGTGTCACCCCGTGTCACTCCGTGTCATTTTGTGCCACCCCGTGTCACCCCGTGTCATTTTGTGTCACCCCGTGTCATTTTGTGTCACCCCGTGTCACTCCGTGTCATTTTGTGTCACCCCGTGTCACCCCGTGTCACCCCGTGTCACCCCGTGTGACTCCGTGTCACCCCGTGTCACTCCGTGTCATTTTGTGCCACCCCGTGTCATTCCGTGTCACTCTGTGTCACTCCGTGTCATTTTGTGTCACCCCGTGTCACTCCGTGTCATTTTGTGTCACCCCGTGTCACCCCGTGTCACCCCGTGTCACCCCGTGTCACCCCGTGTGACTCCGTGTCACTCTGTGTCACCCCGTGTCACCCCGTGTCACCCCGTGTCACCCCGTGTCACCCCGTGTGACGCCGTGTCTCCGTCCCGCAGATCTGGCAGGACCTGCCGCACCTGAAGGCCGTGGTGACCTACGGGGAGCCTCCCGCCGGGGAGCTGGCCAACGTGTACACGGTGCGGGCGGGGCGGCGCCGGGCGGGCGGGGCGGGGCTGCGGGGCCGCCAGCTCACGGCCCGCTCCCCCCCCCCCCCGACAGATGGAGGCGCTCCTGGAGCTGGGGCGCCACGTGCCGGAGGAGGACCTGGACGCCGTCCTCAGCTCCCAGCAGCCCACCCAGTGCTGCGCGCTGGTCTACACGTCCGGGACCACGGGGAACCCCAAGGGCGTGATGCTGAGTCAGGATAACGTAGGCCGCGCCCCGGGGGGGGGGGGGGCTGGGAGAGACTCCGTCATCCCAGGGGAGGGGACGCTCATGGGTAAGGTGACCAGACGCCCCGATTTGTTTCTTTCTTTCTTTTTCTTAAAGCATAGTATGCTCTTTTTTAAAAATATATTTTATTGATTTCCGACAGAGAGGAAGAGAGAGGGATAGAGAGATAGAAACATCGATGAGAGAGAAACATCGACCAGCTGCTTCCTGCACACCCCCCACTGGGGATGTGCCCGCAACCAAGGTCCATGCCCTTGACCGGAATGGAACCCGGGTCCTTTCAGTCCGTAGGCTGATGCTCTGTCCACTGAGCCACACCGGTCTCGGCAGACGTCCAGATTTCTGACAATGTTTTAAAAAAGCCCCTATGTTTGGAAAGAATGCACGACCAGCTAGGGAACGGCGGGAGAGCGGGAAGGGAATAGACGGTGTTCAGCGGCCGTGTGGCTATGTAGCCAGGATAGGAGATTTTTATTATTTTTGTTCATTGTATCATGTTAAACTTGAGTAACAACAAATAATTGTTGAGAACTGAGTATCGAGAACTGTTTATCAGAGTTCGCATGGTCGATCAGTTGTTAGAATTCGACCACCATTGTTTGGACGTAATGAACAACGGCATTTTTGGGGGATTGGCTACAATGAAAACATTTTTTAAAAATATATATTTTATTGATTTTCCACAGAGAGGAAGGGAGAGGGATAGAGAGCTAGAAACATCGATGAGAGAGAAACATCGACCAGCCGCCTCCTGCACACCCCCCACTGGGGATGTGCCCGCAACCCAGGTCCATGCCCTTGACCGGACTCGAACCCGGGACCTTTCAGTCCGCAGGCCGACGCTCTACCCACGGAGCCACACCGGTTTCGGCTAGACCAAATTTTTAATCAAAAACCCACCCCACCTCCCATCCCCGGTCAACGGTGTCCCACTTTACCAACGTTAAAATCTGGTCCCCATGCCGAAACCGGTGTGGCCCTGTGGATAGAGCGTCGGCCTGCGGACTGAAAGGTCCCGGGTTCGATTCCGGTCAAGGGCATGGACCTTGGTTGCGGGCACATCGCCAGGTGGGGGGTGTGCAAGAGGCAGCTGATCGATGGTTCTCTCTCATCGATGTTTCTAACTCTCTGTCCCTCTCAATTCCTCTCTGTGTAAAATCAATAAAATATATATTTTTAAAAATCAATAAAATATATTAAAAAAAACACCTGGTCACCTTACCCATGGGGGTTCCTGCAGAGAAGCCGGGTGGGGGAGGACAAACCCTCCAGGGGTTCCCCCAAAAGGAAGAGCCCAGGCCCGGGGCACCCCCGGGGCGCCGTGTCGACCTGCGACCCCCCGTCGCCCCCAGATCACCTGGACGGCCCGGTACGGCAGCCAGGCCGGCGGCATCCAGCCCGCCGAGGCCCAGCAGGAGGTCGTGGTCAGCTACCTGCCGCTCAGCCACATCGCCGCTCAGATCTACGACCTGTGGACGGGCATCCAGTGGGGGGCCCAGGTCTGCTTCGCACAGCCCGACGCCCTCAAGGTCAGTGTGCCCTCCGCCCGCGTGGGGTCCCCGGGGGGGGTGCCCCCGGGCCCCGGGCGGGCGTGGGGGGCCGCACCGCTCCCCGTCCTGTGTCTGTCCTGTGTCCCTCAGGGTCCTCTCCCTGCGGTCAGCGGAGGAGGGACACGGAGGGCCTTCGTGCAGGGAAGTCCAGTCGGTAGTTCTTTTTTTTTTTTTTTTTTTTTTAATATATTTTTATTGATTTTGTACAGAGAGGAAGGGAGAGAGATAGAGAGTTAGAAACATCGATGAGAGAGAGTCATCGATCAGCTGCCTCTTGCACACTCCCTACTGGGGATGTGCCCGCAACCGAGGTACATGCCCTTGACGGGAATCGAACCCAGGACCCTTCAGTCCGCAGGCGGGGGCTCTATCCACTGAGCCACACTGGCCAGGGCTCTGGGCCTGTCTATGAGCCCCAGCACTTCTCCAGCCCCGGGTGGCTCCCGGCGGCTCTCACTGGCCCAGGTGGGATCACAGGTCGACCCCGGACCCAGCCCCGGCCTAGGGGGCGGTTGCGGCCTCTGCTTAGACCAGGAGTGACCTCTGAGCAGCACCAAGCTGAGGTGGAGGCAAGGGCAGCGGGGCCTGAGCCCCGCGATGTGGGCGGCAGCAGGGCCCTGCCCGCGGGGAGCAGGGCGCCTGGGCTGGGTGCCGCGCTGGGTGCCCGCTCTGGGTGCCCATGCTGGGTGCCTCCGCTGGGTGCCCGTGCTGGGTGCCCGCTCTGGGTGCCCGTGCTGGGTGCCTCCGCTGGGTGCCTGCGCTGGGTGCCTGTGCTGGGTGCTGGGCTGGGTGCCCGCGCTGGGTGCCTGCGCTGGGTGCTGGGCTGGGTGCCCGTGCTGGGTGCCTGCGCTGGGTGCTGGGCCGGGTGCCGGGCTGGGTGCCCGCGCTGGGTGCCTGCGCTGGGTGCTGAGCTGGGTGCCCGCGCTGGGTGCCCGCGCTGGGTGCCCGCGCTGGGTGCCTGCGCTGGGTGCTGGGCTGGGTGCCCGCGCTGGGTGCCGGGCCGGGTGCCGGGCTGGGTGCTGGGCCGGGTGCCGGGCTGGGTGCCCGCGCTGGGTGCCCGCGCTGCGTGCCTGCGCTGGGTGCCGGGCTGGGTGCCCGTGCTGGGTGCCTGCGCTGGGTGCTGGGCCGGGTGCCGGGCTGGGTGCCGGGCCGGGAGCTGGGCCGGGTGCCGGGCTGGGTGCCGGGCTGGGTGCTGGGCCGGGTGCCGGGCCGGGTGCCGGGCTGGGTGCCGGGCCGGGAGCCGCGCTGGGTGCCGCGCTGGGTGCCGCCCGCCCTGTCTGACCGCGGCCTCTCCGGCGAGCAGGGCAGCCTGGTGGACACGATGCGGGAGGTGGAGCCCACGTCGCACATGGGCGTGCCCCGCGTGTGGGAGAAGATCATGGAGCGCATCCAGGAGGTGGTGGCGCAGTCCGGCTTCATCCGGCGCAAGATGCTCCTGTGGGCCATGTCGGTGATGCTGGAGCACAACCTCGCCTGCCCCAGCAGGTGCGGGGCGGGTCACAGGTCACAGCCCGCGGGAGCGCTCCTCCCCCCCTCCCTGCCTCCTCCTCCCTGCCTCCCGCTCCTGTCCGCTGGGAGCCTGTGCAGCCGACAGCTCTCTCCCCAGACCCCGGGGAGGCCCCGCCCTCTCACAGCCCCGCCCTCTCAAGGCCCCGCCCTCTCACAGGCCCCGCCCTCTCACAGGCCCCATCCTCTCAAGGCCCCACCCTCTCACAGGCCCCGCCCTCTCACAGGCCCAGGGAGGCCCCGCCCTCTCACAGGCCCCGCCCTCTCACAGGCCCCACCCTCTCACAGGCCCCACCCTCTCACAGCCCCGCCCTCTCAAGGCCCCGCCCTCTCACAGGCCCCGCCCTTTCACAGGCCCCATCCTCTCAAGGCCCCGCCCTCTCACAGGCCCCGCCCTCTCACAGCCCCGCCCTCTCAAGGCCCCGCCCTCTCACAGGCCCCGCCCTTTCACAGGCCCCATCCTCTCAAGGCCCCGCCCTCTCACAGGCCCCGCCCTTTCACAGGCCCCATCCTCTCAAGGCCCCGCCCTCTCACAGGCCCCGCCCTTTCACAGGCCCCATCCTCTCACAGGCCCCCGGCCTCTCACAGGCCCCGCTCTCTCACAGGCCCCACCCTCTCACAGCCCCCGCCCTCTCACAGGCCCAGGGAGGCCCCGCCCTCTCACAGGCCCCGCCCTCTCACAAGCCCCACCCTCTCACAGCCCCCGCCCTCTCACAGGCCCCGCCCTCTCACAGGCCCCAGGGAGGCCCCGCCCTCTCACAGGCCCCGCCCTCCCACAGGCCCCAGGAAGGCCCCGCCCTCTCACAGGCCCCAGGGAGGCCCCGCCCTCTCACAGGCCCCGCCCTCCCACAGGCACCAAAGGGGTCGCGCCTATGGACCAGCTCCCTCCTGGGAGCAGGGGCCCCAGGGGTGCGCTTTCCCAGCCTCCCAGCCTCCCCATGACCTCGCAGCTGCTTTTTAACCCCCACACGGTGCTGCGCAGATCGGGACCAGGTTAGAATTACTTCCAGGGCCAGTGTCCATCTCATGAGACGTGTGCACGTGTCTGCACCTGCACGTGAAGCGGTCATGCATGTTGGCACAGTTGTGGGCTTTCCCACACGTCTGTCCAGGGGTGTCTAGGCGTGACTGCTTCTCTGCATGTGTGTCCTCCTGGTGGCCTGGGCACCTGTACCCAGCTCCAGCGGTGTCCCGGCTCCAGACGTGTTTGCACCTGTGTGTACACACATGTCCACGGCCAGGGCCAGTGTGTAAACGGTCCAGTGATGGATTCGGTCTCGCTGCCAAGCAGTCAGGAGAGAACAGGCCGGGCCAGTGTATCCCAACGAACACCCACCCTTTCTCTTGAAGGTTTATTTTGTCACTTATATATTTTTAAATTTTCTTTAAATATGTATTTTATTGATTTTTCACAGAGAGGAAGGAAGGGAGATAGAGAGCTAGAAACATCGATGAGAGAGAAACATCGACCAGCTGCCTCCTGCACATCCCCCACCAGGGATGTGCCCGCAACCAACGTACATGCCCTTGACCGGAATCGAACCCAGGACCCCTCAGTCCGCAGGCCGACACTCTATCCACTGAGCCACACCGTTTCGGCAACATTGGTTTTATTGATTTTTAAAACTTTATGGGTTTCAGAGAGGAGGGCGAGGGAGGGAGAGAGAAACACCGATGAGAGGGAATCACTTTAGTGAGAGTGTGCGTGTGTGTTGTGTCCTCTGTGCCCTGTCCCCTCCCCGCAGGGACCTGAAGCCCTTGACGGCCAGGCTGGCGGACCGCCTGGTGCTGGCCAAGGTCCGCCAGGCGCTGGGCCTGGGCAGGTGTCAGAAGAGCTTCTACGGAGCCGCCCCCATGGCCGCCGAGACCCAGCGCTTCTTCCTGGGCCTGGACATCCGCCTGTACTCGGGCTACGGCCTCAGCGAGACCTCAGGCCCCCACTTCATGTCCAGCCCCTGCAACTTCCGGCTGTACAGGTACACCAATCCTGCTCACACCCCCACTCACACCTGCTCATACCCTGCTCACACCCCCCTCACACCTGCTCACACCCCGCTCACACCCCCTCACACCTGCTCACACCCCCTCACACCCTCCTCACACCCTGCACCCACCCCGCTCACACCCTGCTCACACCCCTGCTCACACCTGCTCACACCCTGCTCACACCCCTGCTCACACCCCCCTCACACCCTGCACCCACCCTGCTCACACCCCCTCACACCTGCTCACACCCTCCTCACACCCTGCACCCACCCCGCTCACACCCTGCTCACACCCCTGCTCACACCCCCCTCACACCCTGCACCCACCCTGCTCACACCCCCTCACACCTGCTCACACCCTGCTCACACCCTGCACCCACCGTGCTCACACCCCCCTCACACCTGCTCACACCCCGCTCACACCCTCCTCACACCTGCACACACCTCGCTCACACCCTGCACCCACCCTGCTCACACCCCCTCACACCTGGCTCACACCCCGCTCACACCCTGCACCCACCCTGCTCACACCCTGCTCACACCCCCACTCACACCACATTCACACCCTGCACCCACCCTGCTCACACCCTGCTCACACCCCCACTCACACCCTGCACCCACCCTGCTCGCACCCCCTCACACCTGGCTCACATCCCGCTCAAACCCTGCACCCACCCTGCTCACACCCCCTCACACCTGGCTCACAGCCCACTCACACCCTGCACCCACCCTGCTCACACCAGCTCACACCTGGCTCACACCCTGCTCACACCCTGCACCCTCCCTGCTCACACCCTGCTCACACCCCTGCTCACACCTGGCTCACACTCCCACTCATAACCCTGCTCACACCCCATTCACACCCTACACCCGCCCTGCTCACAACCCACTCACACCGCCGCTCACACCCCTACTCACACCCAGCTCACACCCCACTCACACCTGCTCACACCCCGCTCACACCCTGCACCCACACTGCTCACACCCCTGCTCACACCCTGCTCACACCCCTGCTCATACCTGCTCACAACCTGCTCACACCCAACTCACACCCCGCTCACACTCTGATCACACACCCCCTCCCTGCTCACACTCCGCTCACACCCCGCTCACACCCTACATCCACCCCGCTCACACCCCATTCACACCCCACTCACACTCCGCTCACACCTCGCTTACATCCCGCTCACACCCCTGCCCACACCCCCTGCCCCCCACCGCCTGGGGCTCTGAGCTCCGGCCCCAGCTGTGGAGTCCCCAGGGCCAAGCCCCTGCCAGGCCCCCATCCCGGGAGCTGGTCTCTGCCGTGCCCCCGGCCTGGGGCGGAGAGCAGAGCTCTGGGGAGGCGTTCTCCGGTCCCCACCCAGCGTTAGGTACCCGCATTGTGGAGGGCACAGGGGCCGCCGGGTGGGAGCTGGGGCAGGGCCGGCTCCGGAGGGCAGAGAGGGCAGTCGGCACTGAGAAGCCTGTGAAGGTCAATCGGGGGCTTCACGGCCTCCCCCTCCCGGCTCGGCTGCCCCAGAGCCTGAGCCGTCCCATCCGGACATTCACTTCCTTTTTCTTTTTTTTTAAAATATATTTTATTAATTTTTTTAATAAAAAAGAGAGGGATAGACAGCTAGAAACATCCATGAGAGAGAGAGAGAGAGACATCGACCAGCTGCCTCTCGCACACCCCCCCCCACTGGGGATGTGCCCGCAACCAAGGTCCATGCCCTTGACCGGGAATCGAACCCGGGACCTTCCAGTCTGCAGACCCGACGCTCTACCCACTGAGCCACACCGGCTCCGGCGGGACGTTCACATGCATTCATTCACCGGCGCCCTTTCCTCGGCCCTGCTCCTCAGCGCCAGGCCCCCGGCACAGCACCTTCCGGCCTCGGTGCAGACTGAGAAGTGGGGGGTCCCGGGGCCCTCGGGGGCTGACCGGGCTCCTCCCCCAGCTCCGGCAAGGTGGTGCCCGGCTGCCGGGCGAAGCTGGTGAACCAGGACGCGGACGGCACGGGCGAGATCTGCATGTGGGGCCGCACGGTGTTCATGGGCTACCTGAACATGGAGGACAAGACGCGAGAGGCCATCGACGCCGACGGCTGGCTGCACAGCGGCGACCTCGGCCGCCTGGACGCTGACGGCTTCCTCTACATCACGGGGCGCCTCAAAGGTGGGGCCGGGGAGGGGCACCCCATCACACCCGCCTGAGCGGCATCCGTTCTTCATCTTTCTTTTTTTAATTTTTTAAATATATGTATTTTATTGATTTCGTACAGAGAGGAAGGGAGAGGGAGAGAGAGCTAGAAACACCGATGAGAGAGGAACATCGACCAGCCGCCTCCTGCACGCCCCCCCCACTGGGGATGTGCCCGCCACCAAGGTCCATGCCCTTGACCGGAATCGAACCCGGGACCTTTCAGTCCACAGGCCGACGCTCTATCCACTGAGCCACACCGGATTCGGCTATTTATTTTTTAAAAATATATTTTATTGATTTTTTTACAGAGAGGAAGAGGGAGAGAGAGTTAGAAACGTCGATGAGAGAGAAACATCCACCAGCCGCCTCCTGCACGCCCCCCACTGGGGATGTGCCCGCCGCCAAGGTCCATGCCCTTGACCGGAATCGAACCCGGGACCTTTCAGTCCACAGGCCGACGCTCTATCCACTGAGCCACACCGGATTCGGCTATTTATTTATTTTTAAAAAATATATTTTATTGATTTTTTTACAGAGAGGAAGAGGGAGAGAGAGTTAGAAACATTGATGAGAGAGAAACATCGACCCGCTGCCTCCTGCACGCTCCCCACCGGGGATGTGCCTGCAACCAAGGTCCATGCCCTTGACCGGAATCGAACCCGGGACCTTTCGGTCTGCAGGCCGGCGCTCTATCCACTGAGCCACACCGGTTTGGGCTGGGGCAGCACTTATTGCTGATGAGGAAGCCGGAGAGGGTAGGGTCGTCTGGGGACGCCCCGCTGATAGACAGTGGAGCTGGCCTCGGACCCCCTTGGGGAGCGAGGCGTGCCTGCAGAACCTCCGAACATACACACGTTCCTGTTTTCTGTTTGTCCGAGACCCGGGGTCAGCACGGCCCGGGGTCAGCTTGCCTCCGCTGGACTGGGTAGCTCAGGGGCGGGTGGACAGCATCGCCGAGGGGATCCAGGGCTGCTGTTGTTATTATTATTTTAAATATATTTTATTGGTTTTTCACAGAGAGGAAGGGAGAAGGAGAGAGAGAAACATCGATGAGAGAGAATCATCCATCAGCTGCCTCCTGCCCACCCCCTACAGGGGATGTGCCCACAACCAAGGTCCATGCCCTTGACCGGAATCGAACCTGGGACCTTTCAGTCCGCAGGCCGACGCTCTATCCACTGAGCCACACCGGTTTCGGCCAGGGTCGCTATTTAGGAAGGAAGCAGACAGAGCAACAGGCCCCGTGGCCATCGAGAGACGGGGCCTGCCGAGGGGCAGACACCCGATGAGAAAATGCAGAGAAGCATCGGTGACCGGGAGAGGCTGCTGGAGGCCGAGGGGCTGGTCCCGGCCGAGCAGGCGGCGGTGGGCAGCGGGGAGGAGGGAGGGGGCGTCCCGGAGGGCCGGGTGGGCACGCCCGGGCCCGGGCCTCGGCTCTGGATGGCGCTGGGCTGAATGCTGCTCTGCCCGTGTGGCCTGGACCAAGACCCTGGGCCTCGGTTTCCCTGCCTGTGAAATGGGAAGGCTGTGCTCCCGCCTGGGCCTGCCAGGAGGTGGCACCGTGCCTGCGGGGGTGAAGGTGGCGCTCGGAGAGACGGGGAGGGGGGACAGGGAGAGGGAGGATGGTAGGAGGGGCTCACGGGCCTGGCCTCACCCCCCCCGGCCCCCCAGAACTGATCATCACGGCGGGCGGGGAGAACGTGGCCCCCGTGCCCATTGAGGAGGCGGTGAAGACGGAACTGCCGCTCATCAGCAGCGCCATGCTCATCGGGGACCAGAGGAAGTTCCTGTCCATGCTGCTGACCCTGAAGGTGGGTGCACGCCCGCAGTGCATGCTGGGCCGGGACCGGGCAGCCATCCCGGGGGTGCAGGGGGCAGAACGCTCTTGGGACAGCCCCCCTGTCCCGGCCACAGACACAGGCTCCGGCTGCTGGACGGGGCGGGAGCTGCTGGCCCTGCTCTGGTTCACGATTTTTTTAAAAATATATAAATATATTTTATTGATTTTCCACAGAGAGGAAGGGAGAGGGACAGAGAGCTAGAAACGTCCATGAGAGAGAAACATCAATCGGCTGCCTCCTGCACGCCTCCCACCGGGGATGTGCCCGCCACCAAGGTCCCGGGTTCAATCCCTTGACCGGAATTGAACCCGGGACCTTTTGGTCCGCGGGCCGACGCTCTATCCACTGAGCCACACCGGTGTCGGCCACATCTAAATATTTTTAAATAGCACGAAATACTGAAACATCGACTACTACGCACGTTTTCATTCACTTGCTCTTAGTTTTTACTACAGAAGGTCTCTTGTACTTTTTAAAAATATATATATATTTTATTGATTTTTTTACAGAGAGGAAGGGAGAGAGAGAGAGAGCTAGAAACGTCGATGAGAGAGAAACATCGACCAGCTGCCTCCTGCACACCCCCCACTGGGGATGTACTCACAAGCAAGGTCCATGCCCTTGACCGGAATCGAACCCGGGACCATTCCGTCCGCAGGCCGACGCTCTATCCACTGAGCCACACCGGTTTTGGCTGGTTCATGATTTTTTTTTATATATATATATATTTTATTGATTTTTTAGAGGACAGGAGAGGGATAGAGAGCTAGAAACGTACATGAGAGAGAAACATCGACCAGCTGCCTCCTTCCTGCAACCCCCCCACCGGGGATGTGCCCGCAACCAAGGCACATGCCCTTGACCGGACTCGAACCCGGGACCCCTCCATCCGCAGGCCGACGCTCTATCCACTGAGCCACACCGGCTTCGGCTGGCTCATGAGTTCGTGCCGAGGCCTCCGGGCTCTGAGCTCGGACCTCTGCTCCTTCCACCAGTTTGGGGGGGCGGGGGGTGGGGGGCAGCCGCGCCCCGCACACCGCAGCTCCTGGGCCCCGCCTCCCGGCCCAGCAGCACCTCAGGCCCGGTCCCCGCCCGCAGTGCACGCTGGACCCGGACACCTGCGAGCCCACGGACGCGCTGGCGGAGCAGGCGGTGGCCTTCTGCCAGCGCGTGGGCAGCCGGGCGGCGCGCGTGTCGGACATCGTGGGCGGCCGGGACGAGGCCGTGTGCCGCGCCATCGAGGAGGGCATCCGGCGGGTGAACGGGCGCGCGGCCGCCCGGCCCTACCACGTGCAGAAGTGGGCCATCCTGGAGCGGGACTTCTCCATCGCCGGCGGCGAGCTGGGTAGGCCGCCCCGCGGGGGCCGCCCCGTCCCGGGGGCGGGGGGTGGGGGGGTGGGGTGGGCAGGCGGGAAGCGGAGGTCCCGGCTGGGAGGATGCTGATCCGGGCCTGGCTCTGGGGGTGAACCAGGTCTGGGGGGGGGGGGCACCTTTTTTTAAAAAATTATTTATTTATTTATTTATTTATTAAATATATTTTATTGATTTTGTACAGAGAGGAAGGGAGAGAGAGAGAGAGAGTTAGAAACATCCATGAGAGAGAGTCATCGATCAGCTGCCTCTTGCACACCCCCTACTGGGGATATGCCCGCAACCCAGGTACATGCCCTTTCCCGGAATCGAACCCGGGACCTTTCAGTCCACAGGCCGACGCTCTATCCATTGAGCCAAACCGGTTTCGGCGGCACCTTTTTAAAAATATATATATTTTATTGATTTTGTACGGAGAGGAAGGGAGAGAGATAGAGAGTTAGAAACATTGATGAGAGCCGAGACCGGTGTGGCTCAGTGGGTAGAGCGTTGGCTTGGGGACTGAAGGGTCCCGGGTTCGATTCCAGTCTTGGTTGCGGGCACATCCCCGGTGGGGGGTGTGCAAGAGGTGACTGATCGACGACTCTCTCTCATCGATGTTTCTAACTCTCCCTTCCTCTCTGTAAAAAATCAATAAAATATATCAAAAAAAAAAAAGAAGAAGAAAGAAACATCGATGAGAGTCATCGATCAGCCACCTCCTGCACACCCCCCACCGGGGATGTGCCCACAACTAAGGTCCATGCCCTTGACCGGAATCGAACCCGGGACCCTTCAGTCCGCAGGCCGACGCTCTATCCAGTGAGCCACACCGGTCTCGGCATCGGGGGGGGGCACTTGTGATTTGGACCTGTGACATCGGGGCGGCGGTGGCGGCTGTGGGACCGCTGTCCGAGATGGCCAGGGGGGGGAGGGGACCCCGAAACCTGCCGTCGGGCCACGTGGCAGGTCGGGGTGAAGTAAGGAGGGCAGACGTCCCGCTTTTGGCGGGACCGTCCCGATTTTAAACAATTTGTCCAAATTGTGACATTTAAAGAATATTTCCAAAACTTGGGACTGTTTTATTTTTATTTTATTTTTTTTTATTTGTTTGAAATAGCCCTGACCGGTGTGGCTCAGTGGATAGAGCATCGGCCTGTGGACTGAAAGGTCCCGGGTTCGATTCCGGTCAAGGGCATGGACCTTGGTTGCGGGCACATCCCCGGTGGGGGGGTGTGCAAGAGGCAGCTGGTCGATGTTTCTCTCTCATCGACGTTTCTAGCTCTATCCCTCTCCTTTCCTCTCTGTAAAAAATTAATAAAATATATTTATAAAATAAAGTGCCGAGGGACACGGGACACATGGTTAAAAATCGGGATATCACCGAAACCGGAGTAGCTCAGTGGATAGAGCGTCGGCCTGCGGACTGAGGGGTCCCGGGTTCGATTCCGGCCAAGGGCATGTGCCTTGGTTGCGGGCACATCCCCAGTGGGGGGCGTGCAGGAGGCAGTTGCTGGATGTTTCTCTCTCATCGATGTTTCTAACTCTCTATCCCTCTCCCTTCCTCTCTGTAAACAATCAATAAAAATAAGTACCGGAATCGAACCCGGGACCTTCCAGTCCGCAGGCCGACGCTCTATCCACTGAGGCACACCGGTCTGGGCTAAAAATCGGGACTTTTTTTAAACGCCGCGGGACAAATTGTTGACCATCGGGAGGGACTGTCCTGCCAAAAGCGGGATTTCCAGTCACCTTGGGGTGAAGGCCCTCGGGACAGGGCCTCACAACAGGAAGGGCCCGGGGCCTGGTCTGGGGGCGGGAGGCGGAGGCAGGCGCCCCGCCATGGCAACCCAGGGCGTCTCAGGGCGTGGAGCTGGCAGGGCCGCCTCCTGAGATGAACTCGGACCTCGGGCTGGAGCGCGGCCCTGGCATCTGTCTGCCCGTCTGGCCCGGCGCCAAGTGCGGCCGGCCAGACAGGTGTCCTCGCTTGGCAGCCTCCATGAATGGCTCGGGCTGGCGGCTCCCGTGACCGCCCGGTGTGAGCGGGCACAGAGGGCACATTCAGCTCCCAGGCCATGTCCCCTGCTCTGGGGGCGCCCTCAGCCACGCCCGGGGCGGGGGGAGGCCTCTGGGCAGGCGCCCCGTCCCCATCTCAGGGGCAGAGCAGGCTGTACAACGTGTCACCTAGGACTCTGCCCCTCGGGGCGCGGGCCGGGGGGTCCCTGCAGGTCCACAGCCCAGTGGGGTCCCCCTGGGGTTCCCGAAGTGTCAGCAGGCAGGGCCTCCTACACGAAGGTGACGAGATATCCCGATTTTTACTTTTTTATTTTTTTTATTTTTTAGAAAATTTTTTAATATAGGTTTTTTTACCAAAAGGTTTTTTTATCAGAAGATGGAGAGTTAGAAACATCCATCAGCTGCCTCCTGCACGCCCCCCACTGGGGATGTGCCCGCAACCAAGGTACATGCCCTTGGCCGGAATCGAACCCGGGACCCCTCAGTCCGCAGGCCGATGCTCTATCCACTGAGCCACACTGGTTTCGGTGATATCCCGATTTTTAACAATGTGTCTCGCGTCCCTCGGCGCTTTATTTTAAATAATTTTATTAATTTTTTACAGAGAGGAAGGGAGAGAGATAGAGAGCTAGAAACGTCTATGAGAAACATCGACCAGCTGCCTCTTGCACACCCCCCACCGGGGATGTGCCCGCAACCAAGGTCCATGCCCTTGACTGGAATCGAACCCGAGACCTTTCAGTCCACAGACCGATGCTCTATCCACTGAGCCAAACCGGTTTCGGGCCCTCGGCGTTTTAAAAGTCCCGATTTTTGGAAAGAAAGCAGGACACCTGGTCACCTTAACCTACACGCCCCCTCGGGGTTTGAGACCCCCCAGGGGCCTCTGTGGCTGCTGCCGACACAGGCCCGGGGGCCAGGAGGCCCTGCAGGCTCCATTCGGTCCCTTGAGTCATTCATTCAAGTGCACGGGGGTCAGAGACGGGCGCAGGCCAGGGGTCAGGGGCCAGGGGCCTGGCCGTGCAGGAGGGAGAGGGCTCCTGGCCGCTCCCGGGCGGTGTGGCTTCGATCTGGGCACAGGACGTGCGCCCCCTCCGGCCCCTCACCCGCGCCTCCCCGCCCCCGCCCCCGCCCAGGCCCCACGATGAAGCTGAAGCGGCTGGCGGTCCTGGAGAAATACAAGGACGTCATCGACGCCTTCTACCGGGAGTGAGGGCCCGGCGTCCGGCTCCGAGCCGCGGCCCGAGCAGCTGGCCGCCCCGAGCTCCCCGCTGCATAGTTGTAGTGCTCGGCGTTCCTGAGCCCAGGTGACAGCCCGGCTCCCCTGCCAGCAGGAGGGCCAGCAGCAGCTGGGTGAGGGGGGGCACAGGGGAAGCCTCGCTGTCACTCCCTCCCTCCCTCCCCCTGGAATCTGCCGGGCAGCCTGCCCGTCCCTCCCGCCCGGGGCTCCCCTCGCACCCGCCCCGCCCGCCGGTGCCCTTAACGTGTGACCCGGACATTAAACGTCTTAACCAACCGTCGGCGGGACTGGCCATTGTTTGGTGGGCTGAGCAGGTGGAAGCCGTGGGGGGTGGAGGGTCTTGAGCCCCCAGGACTGCGTGAGGCGGGCACGAGGGGCCCTGGGTGCCCGCAAGCAGGGGCCTGCCCCAGCACACCGCCCCCCTCCGCCGCTCAGGACCCCAGGAGAGCAGCCAGGCCCCGAGGGAGACGGGGAGGGAGAGAGACGGAGAGGGGAAGGGAGAGACGGAGAAGGGGAGGGAGAGACGGAGACGGGGAGGGGGAGGGAGAGACAGAGACGGGGAGGGAGAGATGGAGAGGGGGAGGGAGACAGAGAGGGGGAGGGAGACGGGGAGGGAGAGATGGAGAGGGGGAGGGAGACGGGGAGGGGGAGGGAGAGATGGAGACGGGGAGGGAAGGAGGGAGACGGAGAGAGAAGGGGAGGGAGACGGGGAGGGGGAGAGAGAGATGGAGAGGGGGAGGGAGGGAGACGGAGACGGGGAGGGAGACAGGGAGGGAGAGGGAGGGAGACGCAGTCAGCTCTGAACTCTTTATTCGTTACCGTGAGCCTAGGCGTTGCAGCCAGGAAAGCGGAGCAGCAGCTTACGCAGCAGACACAGGACAGGGGTTTTGGGGGACCAGCCTGACACGGGGGTGCCGTCGGGAAACCCGGGCCCTGGGCGCCTCCCGCCGAGCACGGGTCTGCGTGGCCCCGCGGCCCCCTCCCCTCCGTCACTCACAGGCCGGTCCCCGTGCGACGCGGACTCCCCGGGAACCGCCTCCGGGGCCCGCCACGTCGTAAGAAGGTCACCGGGCGCTTAGGTCAGTGCGGTTTATTTGTGTTTCACACGCTAAGGACAGCCTCTCCTTCGGGCGTGGTGTGCTCTGAGCAGCCTGCGTCCTACGTGCGGCCGAGGACAGCGTCTGACTGGAGTGTAAAATGGTTAGCAGCGGCAACCGACACGGCCCGCGCGGTTCACAAAACACCGGGACCCGGGGCGCGGGCGTCCGGGGAGCAGACTCGGCGGCGCCGGCACGCTCTGCTCCGGTGAGGCCGGCGGCGGGGCCTTACTCCGTGTCCTTCACTCGCCGGCAGATTTCCTCCGTGAAGTCCGAGCACTTGGCGTTGCCTCCCAGGTCCTTTGTCAGGCTCTGCGGGAGGGAGAGCAAAGTAAGAGCAATCGCTCGGCACCAGAGCACGGAGAGGCCCGCGAAAGCCAGGGGCCCAGACGGCCCGATTAAAACTGCTGAAAACCGGGACTGTCCCGCCAAAAGCGGGACGTCTGCTCCCCTTACGCTGAAGGCGCCGCCGCCGAGAGTCCGGCTCTGCCCGGTCCCCCCCAACGCCCGCCGGGAGGACAGGCCCGAGGGAGCTCAGAGGATGGGCACGCACGCCCACACCAGGGCTCCCCGGGGGAGCTCCTAACGTTGAAGAAACTTAAGCCCTTTGGGTCTGTTTTGGAGGCTGGGACACAGAGACCGAGGGAGCCTGTCAATCACACAGCCGCTGCGCCCCACAGGCCCCGCCCCCGGCCCCGCCCACACGGGCCTCCGTGTCCGCTCCCACCGCCACGTCCTGCTGACCAGCCGGCCCCCGTGCTCTGCTCTCTGGGCCTGACCCGGCTCTGCCACGTGGCCGGAGACCTTAACAGATGACAGAATCTCGGGGCCTCGGTTTCCTAGGATCCATCTGCGTAAACTCTCACAGCTCTACGTAAACTGCAGGCACCCCGTCAACACCAGCCGTTCATGCACGAAGATTCCTGCAGGAATGCCTGCCTCCCCGGCTGCCGGCCCTGCCTTCACTGCCCGGAGCCGCCTTCCGCCTCCCGCGCCCCCCAGAGGCCGGAGCGGCTGGGCGTGTGGACCGCCTGCGTCGCTGCCATGGCGATGACGCAAGCATCCCGCCTGTCCCACTCCAGATGCTCGGTGCCTGCATATGCAAACTAGCCCGCCATCTTTGTTGGGCTAATTTGCATACCCGCTCCTGATTGGCTGGTGGGTGTCACGAGGGTATGGTCAATTTGCATCTTCCCGCTGTGAGGTGGGTGTGTCTGGTGGGCGGGGCATGACGTGTAAGACACCTCTGCCTCTACCTGCGGCCCCCTTCGGGGCGCCCAGAGCCCGGGACCTCATCCCACTGCTCAGGCGTAATGCACAGCGGCTTCCCGTCGGGAGGGAAAAGCCGAGGAGGAAAGCACGGCCTCGGCCAGGATCCCGTCGCCACCCGGGGACCCGGGCCTGCGCTGGCTCCGCCGCCCACCTCCGCCCCCCGCGCTCCGCGCCGCAGAGTCCTGGCTGCGTCCGGCTCCGGCTGCGGGCCACCCCCTGCGCCCCCAGGGGAGCCCGCGGGGGACACGGGAGGGCATGGGAGGGCACGCGGGGGACACACGGGGGACACGGGAGGGGACACGGGAGGGCACACGGGGGACACGGGAGGGCACGTGGGGGACACGGGAGGGCACACGGGGGACACGGGAGGGCACGTGGGGGACACGGGAGGGCATGGGAGGGCACACGGGGGACACGGGAGGGCACGCGGGGGACACGGGAGGGTATGGGAGGGCACACGGGGGACACGGGAGGGCACGCGGGGGACACGGGAGGGGATGGGAGGGCACACGGGGGACACGGGAGGGCACGCGGGGGACACGGGAGGGCACGCGGGGGACACGGGAGGGGATGGGAGGGCACACGGGGGACACGGGAGGGCACGCGGGGGACACGGGAGGGCACACGGGGGACATGGGAGGGCACGCGGGGGACACGGGAGGGCATGGGAGGGCACGCGGGGGACACGGGAGGGCACACGGGGGACACGCAGGGGACACGCAAAGGGCACGCGGGAAATACGTGGAGGATAGAGGACACACAGGGGAGACGCGGAGGGCACAGGAGGACATGCGGGGGGCAAGCGGAGGGCACATGGGGGATACATGGAGGGCACGGGAGGACACGCGGAGGGCACGCGGGGGCACACGGGGGACACATGGAGGGCACGGGAGGACAGGCGGAGGGCACGCGGGGGACATGCGGAGGGCACAGGAGGACACGCGGGGGGCACACGGGGGACACATGGAGGACACGCGGAGGGCATGGGGGACACGGGAGGGCACACAGAGGGCACATGGGGGACACGGAAGGGCACGGGAGGACACATGGAGGACACACGGGGGGCACGGGAGGACAGGCGGAGGGCACGCGGGGGACACACGGGGGGCACGGGGGACACGGGAGGGCGCAGAGGGCACGCGGGGGACACGGGGGACACGGGAGGGCGCAGAGGGCACACGGGGGGCACGGGAGGACAGGCGGAGGGCACGCGGGGGACACACGGGGGGCACGGGAGGCCACGCACCTTGCCCCCCTTGATGGTGGCGAAGCAGGCGGCCTCGATGCGCCCGGCGTGCTCGAACATGCCCATGTGGCGCAGCATCATCACGGCGCTGAGCAGCAGGGCCGTGGGGTTGGCCATGTCCTTGCCCGCGATGTCGGGGGCCGTCCCGTGGACCTGGGGGGGGCAGTCAGGGCTGGGAGCGGCCGCCTCAGCCTCAGGCCCGGGCGGCGACTGCCCCACCGCATGGCAGAGGCCTGAAAGGAGGCCCGCGCCGGGAGGGCAAGAGTGACCGTGTTCCATCGCAAAACCACCGCCTCTGTCAGCTTCTCTGGGGGTTCACCGAGGAAGGAGCCGGAACGGTGACCGCCGGCGCCCGCAGGCCTCCGCGGAGCAGCACTCACAGCGAGAAGCCCGGTCACGGTCACAGCGCCCCCTCCCGCCCTCACGCCGGCCGCCTCGGCTGCGGGCGGCCCAGGTCCTTACCGACTCGAAGATGGCCACCCCGTTGGCGCCGATGTTGCCGCTCGGGGTCACGCCGAGCCCGCCGATCAGCCCCGCACACAGGTCGCTGCGGGCAGAGAGGGCGCCGGTTAGAAAACAAAACATCTCCCCCAGCTCCTCGTCTCCAGCCCTCAACACCCCACCCCAGGGGACCGGCCCACAGACACGGCCCAGGACTAGTTAGGAGAGCCCGGAGCACAGGGCCCACGGAGACACGGGCCAGGACTAGTTAGGAGAGCCCGGAGCACAAGGTCCACAGACATGGCTGGCCCAGGACTAGTTAGGAGAGCCCGGAGCACAGGGCCCAGGGAGACACGGCCCAGGACTAGTTAGGAGAGCCCGGAGCACAGGGGCCACAGAGACACGGCCCAGGACTAGTTAGGAGAGCCTGGAGCACCGGGCCACAGACACAGCCAGACTAGGACTAGTTAGGAAAGCCCAGAGCACAGGGCCCACGGAGACACGGCCGGCCCAGGACTAGTTAGTAGAGCCTGGAGCACGGGGCCCCACAGAGACACGGCCCAGGACTAGTTAAGAGAGCCCGGAGCACAGGGCCCACAGACACGGCCGGCCCAGGACTAGTTAGGAGAGCCCGGAGCACAGGGCCCCACAGAGACACGGCCGGCCCAGGACTAGTTAGGAGAGCCCGGAGCACAGGGCCCAGGGAGACACGGCCCAGGACTAGTTAGGAGAGCCCGGAGCACAGGCCCACAGAGACACGGCCCAGGACTAGTTAGGAGAGCCCGGAGCACAGGGCCCACGGAGACACGGCCCCAGACTAGCTGGGGAGTCGGGAGGAGCCCGGAGCACAGGCCGGGCAGCAGGATTGGCTGCTCACAGCGATGCGCCCAGCAGGGCAGGCGTGACAGGAGGGGAGGCTGCAGCCACCAGATAAGCGGGTCCTGGCTGCCTGGCACAGTCACACACGGGGAAGGAACAGCCATGCCAACACCACCAGCTGATGCGTGTGAGGACGAGGGACTCAGAGTCACCACGTGGCCATCACGTGTGTGAGCGTGCAGAGGGGGAGGGACAGGAAACGTGGCAAAAGGCGAACCGAACCTCGCTCTGTACCTCACTCGCCACCTCCCTGCTAGTCTGCAGTTACGTCTGAAGTCACCAAAAAACCTATAAAAACGACCACCCACCCACCCAGCGATACAGAAACCACAGAGTCAGCCCGCCCGCCCGCCAGCGACACCCATGGAGGCCGCCACGCAGGAGCAGTGGCCCGCCCACGCGGCACACGCGGGAAGCCCGTGCACGCGCGCGCGCCGACACCACCACCCGGGCGGTCACGCTCCATGCCCAGCTCCCAGCATGCACCGCTTCCTCCGGGCACCCTTACCTCAGGATGTCCCCGTACAAATTGGGCATCACAAGGACGTCAAACTGGGACGGATCCTGCACCATCTGCAAGAAATGCGTCCGTCGTGTGCATTCAGCCGTCTGAGCTGCACGCACACGGACACCCGCCCGCCACGGGGAGCTCGGGGCTGGGGGGGGGCGTGTGCTTACGTTCAGGCACACCGTGTCCAGGTACATCTCGTTGAATTTGATGTCTTTGCAGTTCTCGGCCACCTCCCTGCACTTCTGCAGGAAAAGCCCGTCGGACATGCGCCTGTGTGAACCAAAGGGAAGCCGTTGAAAGCAAACGCTCACGGAAAGAAAAGCGTCCAATCAGAGAAGTGAAGTGAGTTCGAGCCCTGGCCAGTGTGGCTCAGTGGGTAGAGCATCGGCCTGCAAACTGAAGGGTCCCGGGTTCGAATCCGGTCAAGGGCACGTGCCCATGTTCGGGATCCCCAGAGGAGGTGTGCGGGAGGCAGCCGATCCATGATGCTCGTCATGGATGTTTCTAGCTCTTTCTCCCTTCCTTTCTGAAATTAACAAAAATGTTTAAAAATAGTAATAAAATAAGGTAAATTTTTAAAAAGAAAAGAAACAGAGGCCCAGATGGGTCACGTCGGTGACAGTGAAATTACGTTTCAGGCAGGAGCAGCAAAAACTAAGAAATAGCCAAAGCCGGTTTGGCTCAGTGGATAGAGCGTCAGCCTGTGGACTGAAGGGTCCCGGGTTCGATTCCGGTCAAGGGCATGGACCTGGGTTGCGGGCACATCCCCAGTGGGGGGTGTGCAAGAGGCAACTGGTCGATGTCTCTCTCTCATCGATGTTTCTAACTCTCTCTCCCTCTCTCTTCCTCTCTGTAAAAAATCAATAAGAATATTTAAAAAAAAAAAAAAGTGCAAGTTGCTTAAAGGTTAACTTCTCTGTGGTTTGCATGGTTTGACTGCTCCCACGCCCAGCACTTCTCCCAGGTCAGGAGCCCGTATCTGACACTCACGGCGCCCGGGGCCACGAGGGCCGAGGAGGAGGAGGAGGAGGAGGAGGGGGAGGAGGAGATGGAGGAAGAGGAGGAGGAGGAGGAGGAGGAGGAGGAGGAACACTGTGAGAATAATCCCCGGACAGCACCCGCCGGGGCAGCGAGACAAGTCCACGCCCCGAGCACGTCCGTTCAGAAACGCTCTCGGCCAAAACCAGTTTGGCTCAGTGGATAGAGCGTCGGCCTGCGGACTGAAAGGTCCCGGGTTCGATTCCGGCCAAGGGCATGTACCTTGGTGGCGGGCACATCCTGGTAGGGGATGTGCAGGAGGCAGCTGGTCGGTGTTTCTCTCATCGACGTTTCTAACTCTCTATCCCTCTCCCTTCCTCTCTGTACAAAATCAATAAAATATATTAAAAAATAAATAAATAAATAAATAAATAAATAAATAAAGAGGAACGCTCTCGGGGCCCCGTTTGCTGGGACCCCAGACTCCGGAGCGCCTGGCATTTCTCAGCCCCTCCTCAGCCTCCCAGGACCTGCGTTCCTGCCCTCCCAGCCTGCTCCATCACCCCCCGGAGAGGCCTGTGAGAGAGACCCCCCCCAGAACAGGCGGTTTCAGGGACCCCGGGACCCGGCACAGAGGGAGAGGGCAGAGGGCAGAGGGAGAGGGCAGGGGGCAGAGGGCAGAGGGCAGGGGGCAGAGAGCAGGGGGCTGAGGGCAGGGGGCAGAGGGAGAGGGCAGGGGGCAGGGGCAGAGGGCAGAGAGCAGGGGGCAGGGGGCAGGGGGCAGAGGGCAGGGGGCAGAGGGCAGGGGGCAGGGGGCAGAGGGCAGGGGGAGAGGGCAGGGGCAGAGGGCAGGGGGCAGGAGGCAGAGGGCAGGGGGCAGGGGGCAGGGGGCAGAGGGCAGAGGGCAGGGTGCAGAGGGAGAGGGCAGAGGGCAGGGGCAGGGGGCAGGGGGCAGAGGGCAGAGGGCAGAGGGAGGCGGCAGGGGGCAGAGGGCAGGGGGCAGGGGGCAGGGGGCAGAGGGCAGGGGGCAGAGGGCAGGGGGCAGAGGGCAGGGGGCAGGAGGCAGAGGGCAGGGGGCAGAGAGCAGGGGGCAGAGGGCAGGGCGCAGGGGGCAGGGGGCAGAGGGCAGAGGGCAGGGTGCAGAGGGCAGGGGGCAGGGGGCAGGGGGCAGAGGGCAGAGGGCAGGGGCAGAGAGCAGGGGGCAGAGGGCAGGGGGCAGGGGGCAGGGGGAAGAGGGCAGGGGGCAGAGGGCAGAGGGCAGGGGGCAGGGGGCAGAGGGCAGGGGGCAGAGGGCAGGGGGCAGGGGGCAGAGGGCAGGGGGTAGAGGGCAGAGGGCAGGGTGCAGGGGGCAGAGGGCAGGGGGCAGGGGGCAGGGGCAGGGGGCAGGGGGCAGAGGGCAGGGGGCGGGGGGCAGGAGGCGGGGGGCAGGGGGCAGGGGGCAGAGGGCAGAGGGCAGGGGCAGGGGGCGGGGGGCGGGGGGCAGGGGGCAGAGGGCAGGGGGCAGGGGCAGGGGCAGGGGGCAGGGGGCAGGGGGCAGAGGGCAGAGGGCAGGGGGCAGAGGGAGGCGGCAGGGGGCAGAGGGCAGGGGGCAGGGGGCAGGGGGCAGAGGGCAGGAGGCAGAGAGCAGGGGGCAGAGGGCAGGGCGCAGGGGGCAGGGGGCAGAGGGCAGAGGGCAGGGTGCAGAGGGCAGGGGGCAGGGGGCAGGGGGCAGAGGGCAGAGGGCAGGGGCAGAGAGCAGGGGGCAGAGGGCAGGGGGCAGGGGGCAGGGGGAAGAGGGCAGGGGGCAGAGGGCAGAGGGCAGGGGGCAGGGGGCAGAGGGCAGGGGGCAGAGGGCAGGGGGCAGGGGGCAGAGGGCAGGGGGTAGAGGGCAGAGGGCAGGGTGCAGGGGGCAGAGGGCAGGGGGCAGGGGGCAGGGGCAGAGGGCAGGGGGCAGGGGGCAGAGGGCAGGGGGCGGGGGGCAGGAGGCGGGGGGCAGGGGGCAGGGGGCAGAGGGCAGAGGGCAGGGGCAGGGGGCGGGGGGCGGGGGGCAGGGGGCAGAGGGCAGGGGGCAGGGGCAGGGGCAGGGGGCAGGGGGCAGGGGGCAGAGGGCAGAGGGCAGGGGGCAGAGGGAGGCGGCAGGGGGCAGAGGGCAGGGGGCAGGGGGCAGGGGGCAGAGGGCAGGAGGCAGAGGGCAGGGGGCAGAGGGCAGAGGGCAGGGGGCAGGGGGCAGAGGGCAGGGGGCAGGGGCAGGGGGCAGAGGGCAGGGGGCAGGGGGCAGAGGGCAGGGGGCAGGGGGCAGAGGGCAGGGGGCAGGGGGCAGGGGGCAGAGGGCAGGGGGCAGGGGGCAGAGGGCAGGGGGCAGGGGCAGGGGGCAGGGGGCAGGTGGCAGGGGGCAGGGGGCAGGGGCAGGGGCGGCCGGACGCACATGATGTTGGCCTTGTGCACGGCGGTGACGTTGCTCCGGTGGTTGTTGCGGGCGTACTCGAAGGCGAACTCGGCGATGCGCTTGCTCGCCTGCTCGGTGATGAGCTTGATGCTCTGCACGACGCCGTCCACGATCTGGAAGACAGGAGGCCCGCCGTGCCGGAGGGGGCGGCCAACGCGGCACCGGCCGCCGCCCGGGCAAGAGCAGCGCGAGCCGAAGCCGGTGTGGCCCAGCGGATAGAGCGCCGGCCTGAGGACTGAAGGGTCCCGGGTTCGATTCCGGTCAAGGGCATGGACCTTGGTTGCGGGCACATCCCCAGTGGGGGGTGTGCAAGAGGCAGCTGATCGATGACTCTCTCTCGTCGATGTTTCTCACTCTCTATCTCTCTCCCTTCCTCTCTGTACAAAATCAATAAAATATATTTTTAAAAAATAAAAATAAAAAATGAAATAAAATAAAAGAGCAGCGTGAGTGGCGGGCTCGCACAGTGCCCGCAACCGTGGGGGTCACGTGGACCCATTGCACGGATGGGGAAAACTGAGGCGGGTGCCGAGATGGACACCTGCCCATGAGCACGGCCGCGGAGTCCGGATTCAAAACTCAAACGGGGGCGTGTCCCCCGGACCTAGACCCACACCCATGCCCTCCGGAGGTCAAGGTGAGGACCTCCAGGAGCCCGGGGGTGGCCCCGGCGGGCGGAGCGGGTGTCGGAGGGGACGCACCACGTGCTCGATGCCGCTGTACTCGCCCTCCGTGTTCTCGCGGATGGTGACAATGTTCACGTCGTTGTACGGCGTCTTGTAGCCTTCGATGGACACGCACGGCCGGACGTTGGCGTAGAGGTCGAAGGTCTTACGCAGCAGCAAGTTCATGGACGGGTGGCCGGCAGCGATCGGGGTCTTTAAAGGGCCTGCAGGGAAGAACCCCCACATGACAACCGGGTCCCCCCCCTTAATTTTACATATATATTTTATTTTGTTTTGTTTTTTTCTTCAGAGAGGAAGGGAGAGGGAAAGTTAGAAACATCGATCAGCTGCCTCCAGCACACCCCTCACTGGGGATGTGCCCGCAACCAAGGTCCATGCCCCTGACCGGAATCGAACCTGGGACCCTTTAGTCCTCAGGCCGACGCTCTATCCACTGAGCCAAACCGGTCAGGGCTCCCCTCTCCTTTAGAAACACAAGTGCCTCGTATTTTACTTGAAATCCCAGTTTGGCCTGGCCAGTGGTTGAGCGTCAAACTAGGAACCAGGAGGTCAGGGTTCGATTCCCAATCGGGCACATGCCCAGGTTGTGGGCTCCATCCCCAGTGGGGGGCGTGCAGGAGGCAGCCCATCCATGATTCTCTCCTCATTGATGTTTCTCTCTCTCTCTCTCTCTCTCTCTCTCTCTCTCCCCCTTCCTCTCTGAAATCAATAAAAATGTATTTTGCCGAAACCGGTTTGGCTCAGTGGTAGAGCGTCGGCCTGCGGACTGAAAGGTCCCGGGTTCGATTCCGGTCAAGGGCATGTTCATTGGTTGCGGGCACATCCCTAGTAGGGGGTGTGCAGGAGGCAGCTAGTCGGTGTTTCTCTCTCATCAACGTTTCTGGCTCTCTATCTCTCTCCCTTTCTCTCTGTAAAAAAAAAAAAAAAATCAATAAAATATATATATATTTTTTAAATGTATTTTAAGCCAAACCGGTTTGGCTCAGTGGATAGAGGGCCTGAAGGGTCCCGGTTTCGATTCCGGTCAAGGGCATGTACCTTGGTTGCAGGCACATCCCTGGTAGGGGGTGTGCAGGAGGCAGCTGGATGATGTTTCTCTCTCATCGATGTTTCTCTCACTCTCTCCCTTCCTCTCTGAAACCAATAAATATATATTTTTTTTAATTTAATAAGTAGGCAAAAGATAAATCTCAGTCAAGATAAACGTACTTCCACTTGGGACCAGCCAGTACATACTCCATGTTTCCGCTGGGGAAGGCTATGTCCCACAATAAGTGACACAGCCCTGCCAGGTGCGCTGCGGCCGCAGGCCAGCTCTCTCCCGCTTCCATGCGTGACGCCCTGCGGTCTCCGCCCCCTCCCCACCCCGCCCCCGAGCGCCTACCTTTGAGGCCCATCTTGTTCTTGTCCATGGACTCCTTGGCATCCAGGGGGATCATCCACTTCCCGCTGGGCCCCTGGATGGCAGTGACGCTCCGCTCCTCCCACTGGATGGGCGCCTGCGAGCCACACGGCCGGGCGGCAGCGGGAGAGACCGAGCGTGAGCGCCCGTCCCGCCCGTCCCTCCGGCTCCCACCGCACCTCGCCTCCGACACGACCGGTGAGCGCGCACCGCGGAGGCCCAGGGAGTGCCCGCGCGCGCGGGGGAAGCCAGGTCATGCCCGGCCGGCGTGGCTCAGGGGCTGAGCGTCCACCTACGAACCAGGGGGTCACGGTTCGATTCCCGGTCAGGGCACAGGCCCGGGTGGCGGGCTCCATCCCCAGCAGGGGGCGTGCAGGAGGCAGCCGATCCGGGATTCTCTCATGGGTGTTTCCATCTCTCTGCCTCTCTGAAATCAGTACAAATATATTTTACTTTGTTTTATTATTTTTTTTAAATACATATATTTTTTTATTGATTTTTTTTTTTTTTTACAGAGAGGAAGGGAGTGGGACAGAGAGTTAGAAACATCGATGAGAGAGAAACACCGATCAGCTGCCTCCTGCACACCTCCCACCGGGAGTGTGCCTGCAACCAAGGCACATGCCCTCGACCGGAATCGAACCTGGGACCTTCCAGTCCGCAGGCCGACGCTCTATCCACTGAGCCACACTGGTTTCAGCGGTACAAAAATATCTTTTTTTTTTTTTTTAAATATATTTTATTGGTTTTTTTTACAGAGAGGAAAGGAGAGGAAGAGAGAGCTAGAAACATCGATGAGAGAGAAACATCAACCAGCTGCCTCCAGCACACCCGCTACTGGTGATGTGCCCGCAACCAACGTATATGCCCTTGACCAGAATCGAACCCGGGACCTTCCAGTCCGCAGGCCAGCGCGCTATCCACTGAGCCACACCGGTCTCAGCAGTACAAATCTATCTTAAAAAAGATAAAGAAGCGTCGCTCTCCGGCTTGCCCACGGGACTCCCCGCGTCACGGCCCGGCCCGGTGGCCCCCCAGCTGCCTCCTGCCCACTCGGGTTTCTCACAGCTCCGCACGGCTATACTTAGCCCGCCGTCTGGAGTGGGGCAGCACGGCTCCCGGACAGCTGCCACGTGGGGGAGCCGGGAACACTGTGCGAGACACGGGCCAGCCCCGAGCCCCCAGGACAGACCCCACGCGTGCGGGACAGACAGAGGCGGCTCGGCTGCAGAGACAAGTGGCTGAGCAGCCGCGTGGGCCAGGGAGCCGGGCCGGGGGAGGAGAACGGGGGGAGGGGGAAGGGGGAGGACGGGGGGAGGGGGGAAGTGCCTGCTAATGAGCATGGGGTTTCTCTTCGGGTGACGGAAATGTTCTAAAATTAGATGGTGTGAGGCTTGCACAACCGGGCCTGTCCTGAACCCCACTCAAGTGGACGCTGCGAAGGGGTGGGTTGTAGGGGCGCGGGCGGTCTCTCTGTTTTGGAAAAACGTAAGATGCGTGACGTGGCAGAAGGAGCTGACAAGCAGTCTATGCATCGTCCTCCCTGCCCTCGCATCCCTCCGGGTGGAGGGTGGCGAGGCAGGAGCTCGGAGGGAGGCGTGCTCTGTGCACAGGGACCTGCACACAGACATAATCTCACACAGCTATCACCTGGCAGCCATCAGCAGCGAGCAGCGTGTCAGACAAAGTCCAGGTTTCCAGTGGGAACATCCACCTGCCCTGAACGGTGTGGCTCAGTGGATAGAGCATCAGCCTGGGGACTGAAGGGACCCGGGTTCGATTCCGGTCAAGGACATGTACCTTGGCTGCGGGCACATCCCCAGTAGGGGGCGTGCAGGAGGCAGTTGATGGATGTTTCTCTCTCATCGATGTTTCTCTCTATCCCTCTTCCTTTCTGTCTGTAAAAAAATCAGTAAGATATCCCCCCCCCAAAACAGGAAACATTTTTTTATAAGTAGAGAGAGTACTCTAAAGTAACAATCAATAGAGTATCATTGGAAACACATAAAGCAGTAGTAACACAGTCGTTGGTCATTATCAAACAAGATATATATATATTTTTTTTTAATATATCAACCGTAGGCCGAAACCAGTTTGGCTCAGTGGCTAGAGCGTCGGCCTACAGACTGAAGGGTCCCGGGTTCGATTCCAGTCAAGGGCATGTACCTGGGCTGTGGGCACATCCCCAGTGGGAGGGTGTGCAAGAGGCAGCTGGTCGATGTTTCTAACTCTCTATCCCTCTCCTTTCCTCTCTGTAAAAATATCAATAAAATATATTTTTTTAAAAAATTAAAAAAAAAATACATATATATATATATACATATACCAACTGTATTCTCGTGGGCAGGAAGCGGCACACAGTAAGACTGCGAGACCTCATGCCCAGGCAGGGGTCAGAGACCCACAAATACTTTCCACAGCTGAGACCGGTGTGGTTCAGTGGATAGAGCGTCGGCCTGCGAACTGAAAGGTCCCGGGTTCGATTCCGTTCAGGGGCATGTACCTTGGTTGCGGGCACATCCCCAGTGGGGGGTGTGCAGGAGGCAGCTGGTCGATGTTTCTCTCTCATCGACGTTTCTGACTCTCCATCCCTCTCAATTCCTCTCTGTGTACAATCAATAAAATATATATATTTTTTTTAAAATCCTTTCCACAGAACCGAAGCCACGCGGCAGCTTCAAGCGCAGCAGCGAACACTGACGTTCAAGTTCAAGTGGTTAAGATCCACGACCGACCACCCCCGCGTCCTATGGATGCGAACCGGTCGTCCCGGGAGGTCACAGACCCCGTCCCACCGGCCGGGAAACATGTCTGCACACAAAAGGGATTTCGAAAGTCCACTTACTTTGGCGGCGTCAAAGATCTTCATGACGGAGTTGGAGATTTCCGGGCCGATGCCATCGCCTGGAATTAGAGTGACTGTCTGAACCTGGATGAGAGGAACCATCAAGAAAAAAACCATCAAGGAAGTTCCAAAGGCCGTTAAGAAAACAGACCCTCGCCCTAACTGGTGTGGCTCAGTGGATAGAGCGTCAGCCTGCGGACTGAAGGGTCCCGGGTTCGATTCCGGTCAGGGGCACGGACCTTGGTTGCGGGCACAACCCCAGTGGGGGGCGTGCAGGAGGCAGCTGATCAATGTTTCTAACTCTCTATCCCTCTCCCTTCCTCTCTGTAAAAAAAAATCAATAAAATACATTTTAAAATTAAAATAAAATAAAATAGGGGGGAAAAGAAAGAAAACAGACCCTCCTTCCTGGGCCATCAAAGGCGGTAAGATGCCAGAGACTCCGCTATTCTCTGTCCCGGAGCTGAGAGGCTGAACAAGGAACTCAACGAATGCTCGTCAGATGCCTCAAAATAAATTAAAACGACTCAGGAGCCTTAGCCGGTGTGGCCCAGTGGATAGAGCGCCAGCCTGAGGACTGAAAGGTCCCCAGTTCGATTCCCCATCAGGGCACATACCCAGGGTTGCGGGCTCGATCCCCAGTGCAGAAGGCAGACGATCCATGATTCTCTCTCATCATGGACGTTTCTCTCTCTCTCTCTCCCCCTCATTTCCTCTCTGAAATTAATAAAAATATATTTTTTTAAAAACAAAGAAACAAAAATTACTCCATGGAAGCCACAAAGGGGCCGATGAACTGAAGTCTGGGAAAGCAGAGCGGGCGACACGTCACTGTGTCCTGAGCTTCGCGAGCAGGCGAGGTCCGCTCTCCACGCGGGCCCCGGAGTGGGCGAGTTCCCACGGAAACCTGTCCGTCTGGGAGCCTTCCCGGGGTCTGCCTGTCACTGAGGCTCGCTTCCCCGAGTTCCTTTAAAAATTGGCTCCTGCCCGAAACCGGTGTGGCTCAGTGGATAGAGCGTCGGTCTGCGGACTGAAAGGTCCCAGGTTCGATTCCGGTCAGGGGCATGCACCTTGGTTGCGGGCACATGCCCAGTGGGGGGTATGCAGGAGGCAGCTGATGGATGTTTCTCTCTCATCGATGTTTCTAGCTCTCTATCCCTCTCCCTTCCTCTCTGTAAAAAAAAATCAATAAAATATAAAATAAATAAATAATAAAAATAAAAATAGCCGAAACCGGTTTGGCTCAACGGATAGAGCGTTGGCTTGGGGACTGAAGGGACCCGGGTTCGATTCTCCCCAGTAGGGGGTGTGCAAGAGGCAGCTGATCGATGACTCTCTCTCATCGATGTTTCTAACTCTATCCCTGTCCCTCTCCCTCTCTGTATACAAAATCAATAAAATATATCTTTAAAAAATAAATAAATAAAAAATAAAAATAAAAAAAAATCTGGTTCCTTCATGAGAAATGTCCCGGACGTGAACTTGTCCCCCTGGTAACAGCTCCCGTGGTCGCCCCTGCAGAGCCTGGGTTACTCTCCGGAGCAGTGCTTCTCCGCCTTCCTAATGCCTCGGCCCTTTAACACAGCTCCTCACATCGTGGTGTCCCTCCACAGCTACAAAATTATTCCCGTTGCTACTTCATCACTGTCATTTTGCTGTGAATGAATCGTAATGTAAATATCTGTGTTTTCTCAGGCGACCCTGCTAGCGGATCTCAACCTGTGGGTCACGACAACAGGGAAAACTGTATCAAAGGGTCGCGGCAGCCGAAACCGGTGTGGCTCAGTGGATAGAGCGTCGGCCTGCGGACTGAAAGGTCCCGGGTTCGATTCCGGTCAAGGGCGTGTGTACCTTCGTTACAGACACATTCCCAGTAGGTGGTGTGCAGGAGGCAGCTGATGGATATTTCTCTCTCATCGATGTTTCTGACATCTGTCCCTCTCTCTTCCTCTCTGTGAAAAATCAATAAAATAAACGTTTTTTAAAAAGGGATCGTGGCATCAGACAGGTTGATAACCACTGCTTTAGAGGGACATGTGTGTTTGTAAAGTAGCATCCTGGATTTATTGCAAAGGACGCAAACAGAAGGAAGCCAGCATTTCAAACGCAGAAACAAAGCCATGTCAGGGAAAATGACGAGGGGGTTTAAATCCATTTAGAGACCGGGCTGACCCTCTCTCTGCATCTAGAAAATGGTCCATCGTCGCTCGGGGACCCTCCCCGATCCAGAGGTTTGGTCCAGACAAGCTCCCTGGCCTTCCCCAGTTCCCGTCACCTGTTGCTACTTAAAAAAATAAGTTTAAAAAAAATCCCTGATTCACGTTTCCCTGGTCTTTTGCCTCCCAGGGACACTCCTGAGCAGAGGGACTGGTTCCACTTCTCTGCACAAACTGCAGAAAGCTTCTAAAAGATTCCTGTCCAAGCCCTGGCCGGTGTGGCTCAGTGGATAGAGCGTCGGCCTGCGGACTCAAGGATCCTAGGTTCGATTCTGGTCGGTCAAGGGCATGTATCTTGGTGGCGGGTACATGCCCAGTGGGGGGTGTGCAGGAGGCGGCTGATGGATGTTTCTCTCTCATCGATGTTTCTAGCTCTCTATCCCTCTCCCTTCCTCTCTGTAAAAAAAACCAAAACAATAAAATATGTTTTTTTAAATAAATAAAGATTCATTTCTAGACCTGGCCCGGTTGGCTCAGTGGATGGAGCGTCGGCCAACAGACTGAAGGGTCCCGGGTTCGATTCCAGTCAAAGGCACATGCCTGGGTGGCAGGCTCGATCCCTAGTGAGGGGCTTGCAGGAGGCAATCAATCAATGATTCTCTCTCATCATGAGTGTTTCTCTCTCTCTCCCCCTCTCCCTTCCTCTCTCAAATCAATAAAAGTATTTTTTTTAATTTTTAATTTTAAAAAAAATATATTTTATTAATTTTTTACGGAGAGGAGGAGAGAGGGATAGAAAGCTAGAAATGTCGATGAGAGAGAAACATCGACCAGCTGCCTCTTGCACACCCCCCACCGGGGATGTGCCCGCAACCAAGGTACATGCCCTTGACCGGAATCGAACCTGGGACCTTTCAGTCCGCAGACCGATGCTCGATCCACTGAGCCACACCGGTTTCGGCAAAGTATTTAAAAAAAAAAAAAAAAAGATTAGTTTCTCTTCATTTCTTTCAGATTCAAGCCCCCGCCCTTCCAGGCTTTTTTTTTTTAACTGGGAGCCTGGAAATTAAGTAACAGCAGAGCACAACGAGCGTCCCATTAGCTCCCAGAAACATGTCTGAAATGCCCAGGACCCCTGGCTGCCGCTTCCTGTTCTCCCAGCACGTCGGATCCGTGTCCTCAGGCCACCGAAAACAAAACCTGCTTCACGCCACAGCTCAGAAGGCAAACCGGGCCCTGGCCGGTGTGGCTCAACGGATAGAGCATCGGCCTGTGAACCGAAAGGTCCCTGGTTCCGTTCCGGCCAAGGGCACATGCCTGGATTGTGGGCTCAATCCCCAGTAGGGGGCGAGCAGGAGGCAGCCGACCCATGATTCTCTCTCATCATGGATGTTTTTCTCTCTCTCTCCCTTCCTCTCTGACATCAATAAAATATTACTTTTTAAAAAAAGAAAGTAAATCGGTGGGAAATGTACTGTGCTCTTACAGATGCCTCACGGACCAGGATGAGATGTGGGAGCAGAGGAATCAGGAACCAACCAGATTCTGCAGGAAGGCTCAGTCAGCAGCGTTTAGGTTAAGGTGACCAGACATCCCGCTTTGGGCGGGACAGTCCCGATTTCTAACAATTTGTCCCGCGGTGTTTTAAGAAAGTCTCGATTTGCCGAAACCGGTGTGGCTCAGTGGATAGAGCGTCGGCCTGCGGACTGAAAGGTCCCAGGTTCGATTCCGGTCAAGGGCATGGACCTGGGTTGCAGGCACATCCCCAGTAGGGGGTGTGCAGGAGGCAGCTGATCGATGTTTCTCTCTCATCGATGTTTCTACCTCTCTATCCCTCGTCTTCCTCTCTGTAAAAAAATCAATAGCTGAAACCGGTGTGGCTCAGTGGATAGAGCCTTGGCCTGTGGACTGAAGGGTCCCAGGTTCGATTCCGGTCAAGGGCATGTACCTTGGTTACAGGCACATCCCCAGTAGAGGGTGTGCAAGAGGCAGCTAGTCGATGTTTCTCTCTCATCGGCGTTTCTAGCTCTCTATCCCTCTTCCTTCCTCTGTGTAAAAAATCAATGTATTTAAAAAAAATCAATAAAACATATTTAATAAATAAATAAATAAGTCCCGATTTTCCAAAAATCGGGACTTTTTTAAAATGCCACAGGACACGGGGCAAATTGTTAGAAATCGGGACTGTCCCACCAAAAGCGGGACATCTGGTCACCTTAGTCTAGGAGGCCATGACCCACAGGCTCAGCGTGCTCTGAAAATGTGGCGTGTGCCTTTAAGAACGCAGGACTGGCGCCGGGGACGGGGAAAGCAGCAGATTTCCTGAGAAATAGAGGATCCATCAGCGTGATCCCCCATCCAGGGCGTGGAAGGGACAGACAGACGCCCGAGGCGTCCGTTCCTGCGTGGCGACCGACCCGCCTGGGAAGCTCACAACGAAAAAAAAAGCAAAGCAGCTTTGAAGCTTCTCAACAACGTGTTCTCTGCTTGTACGAGGTTTGGGAGAAATCAGCCACCACCTGTCTTACAAAACCAGGTTGTGAAATAAAGCAACGGGCTCGAGGGAGCAGAAATCCATCTATTTTTAACAAGGCTCCTCGGCTGTAACATAATTCTTTTAAATGTGACCTAACAGGTTTCTGTATGTTAGCCAATAATGTTCAGATACTGTAAGGATGGCCCGATGGACCCTCGTTTTACATAAATGGAGGTAAAGGGCTGTTTGATGTCTTAGAGCATCTTTCTTGAGAAACTTCTAAAAGGGAAAAAAAAAAAAAAAAAAAAAAGATAATTATACTCACGCCACCAGCAAAACCTCGGGTCACCTGTTTTGGGTTGTGGAATGCCCCCAGCAGCCGAGAGACCTATATTAACATCAACAGAGAAATGTCACGCACAGAATTAAACGCCGGGTATGAAGAAGCAAAGATGGCCCTAGCCAGTGTGGCTCAGTGGGTAGAGCGTCGGAAGGGTCCTGGGTTCGATTCCGGTCAAGGACACGTCCCCTGGCTGCAGGCTCTCAGCCCTGGTCCCGGGCGTGTGCAGGAGGCAGCTCATCGGTGTTTCTCTCTGTCTCTCCCTCTCCTTCCACTCTCTCTACAAATCAATGGGGAGAAAATATCCTCATGTTAGGATTTATAAAAAAAAAAAAAAAAAAAAAGGCCAGGAACTTCCGGGCAGTATCTTCTCACACATCCCTTACACATGACAAGCCCCTCAGCTCCGGAAACCTACACATTGGGATTACCTCTGGCTCTCTGAGAACTTAAAGCTCTCTACACCGCAAAGCCAATTTCGTGGATGTACATTTGTCGAGACGTCGAGGGTAGAACGAAACTATGTTTTCAGGTCAAACATTTGGTGCCCGGCCGGTGTGGCTCAGTGGATAGAGCGTCAGCCTGTGGACTGAAGGGTCCCGGGTTCGATTCCGGTCAAGGGCACGTACCTTGGTTGCGGGCACATCCCCAGTGGGGTATGTGCAGGAGGCAGCTGACGGATGTTTCACTCTCATCCATGTTTCCAACTCTTTCTCTTCCTCTCTTTAAAAAAAAAAAAAATCAATAAAAAATATTTTTTAAGCCGGGACCGGTTTGGCTCAATGGATAGAGCATCGGCTTGGGGACTGAAGGGTCCCAGGTTCGATTCCGCTCAAGGGCATGTACCTTGGTTGCGGCATATCTCCAGTAGAGGGTGTGCAGGAGGCAGCTGATCGATGACTCTCTCATCGATGTTTCTAACTATCTCTTTCCCTTCCTCTCTGTATAAAATCAATAAAATATATATATATTTTTAAATATTTTTTACATTTGGGTCTTCCCCAAATGCCTGTCTCCAAGGCACCTTCTGCTCCAATCCCCAAAGGGGAAAAGCTGGCCCCACAGAAGTCAAATGACGGTCAGAGGTCACCGGGGCGGGGAGTCCAGGTCAGAGGGAGCCCTGTCTTCTGATTCCCCGACCCAACACGCTCAGCGTCCACGCGTGCAAGAGCGGCGTGTTCTCCGCAGACCCACGCCACAGGCTGCACACGCCCGCCAGCACTTGACTGACGTGTGCCGTGCTCCCTCCGTGCTCCCTCGTCTGCAGGCCTCGTGCCCCGCCTGCCACAGCCCAGGCGGGTATTAACTGTAAGCTCTGCGCTTAAGGCTAGACTTCTGCTACCTACCGTCACACACACACACACACACACACACACACACACGCAGAACCCGGTTTCAGGGTAACACCCTGACAGATGCCCGGGAACCGTGGTCTTCGTGGCAACTGCAAAAGAAAAACCTGGGGGTACCCACGCCCCGGGCACCCCCACGATCTTTTTTTTTTTAAATATATTAATTGATTTTTTTACAGCGAAGGGAGAGGGAGAGTTAGAAACATCCATCAGCTGCCTCCTGCACACCCCCTACTGGAAATGTGCCCGCAACCAAGGTCCATGCCCTTGACAGGAATTGAACCCGGGACCCTTCAGTCCAAAGGCCGTCGCTCTATCCGCTGAGCCACGATCTTTTATCGATGCCTCAATCAGCTCTGCGATGGCTCAGAGATATTCGGTCATGGGTTCGGGGTCACACATGGGGTCACATGCCAGGATTTAACCCTAAGCCTCCGCCATTCCAAATGTTGAGCTTTTTTTTTTCACCAAGAAATAAATTTTTTTTTTTTAAAAAAAAAGGACATGTGCACATCACTTTACACTCACCACCAAGGAGGAAGAGTATCAAATTCTACAGGGGGAAAAAATGAAGTTGGCCCTGACCGGTGTGGCTCAGTGGATAGAGCTCAGCCTGCGGACTCAAGGGTCCCGGGTTCGATTCTGGTCAAGGGCCTGTGCCTTGGTTGTGGGTACATCCCCAGTGGGGGGGGTGCAGGAGGCAGCTGATGGCTGTTTCTCTCTCATCGATGTTTCTAGCTCTCTCTCCCTCTCCTTTCCTCTCTGTAAAAAAAAAAAAAAAAAAAAAAAAAAAAAATCAGCCCTATCTGGTTTGGCTCAATGGATAGACCATGGACCTGGGGACTGAAGGGTCCTGGGTTCGATTCCAGTCAAGGGCACAGGCCTAGGTTGTGGGCTCAATCCTCAGGAAGGGGCATGCAGGAGGCAGCCTATTAATGATTCTCTCTCATCATCGATGTCTCTATCTTTCTCCCTCTCCCTTCCTCTCGGAAATCAATAAAATACATTTTTTTAAAATCAATAAAATATATTTTTATTTTTATTTTTTAAAAAAAGGGGGAAAATGGCGTTTTTCAGGTCAGATTTCTAGGGGACTGCTGGTGCCCAGCCCCAAGAGACCCGAGGAGGGCCTGTCCTTCCTGGCGCCTGGCACCCGTGGGGTGACCTTGGCCCAGAGCAGACAGAATGGGACTGAGACCTGGGGACACTCGGGGAGCCTGGGATCCTCTCGCCCCGGGACACCGACTTCCCGCGTGACCTTGAGGGTGACCTCTAACGGCGAGCGCCGCCGGGAGCCCAGCCCAGCGCAGGCATCCCAGCTGTCAGCAGCGCCCACGCTCCAGGTCCCGGTTCTCCCCCCGAAATAAAGGTGGGGACCTGCGGGCTTCTCCCTCTCCGAGGGTCCGGGGGCAACTCCCCAGGGTGCAGGGCGCCCTTCGGAGGGGTCGCGGGCGCGGGGGCAGCCCCGGGAGAGCCGGGCTGGGCAGCAGGGAGACGGGGCGGGAAGCGGCCCGGGGTTCCCCCGCGGGACCGCGCCTGCCCGGCGCCCCCGGCCCGAGAGGTGGCCCGGCCTCGCCCCCTCACCCGGGGGGCCCGGCCGCCATAGCCCGCGCGGAGCCGGCCCAGCCTCGGCCCGTCCGCCTCACGCTGGACCTGGGCTCGGCCTGGGGGGCCCGGCGGGGCAGGGCCGCGCCCCTCCCGCCCTCCCTCGCCCTGGTCATCCCCCCACCCGGGTCTCCAGCGCGGCCATCCCGGGCGCGGGCTGCCCACCCGCCGTGCGCGCCACGGAGCCGCCGCCGCCTCGGGCCCGCCGCCCCGCGCTCACCTTGGACATCCACGCGGGCCCCGCCATCGCGTCTCTCCTCTCACCGCGGCGACAGCACGGCCGCCGGCGCGAGTGCGCAGTCGCCCAGCTCGCGCCGGGCCCCGCCCCCTGGAGGGCCCGCCCCCTTGAGCCCGCCCTAGAGGATGCTCCGCGCCTCCTCTTGGCCAATCGCCAGGCTCGTCTCACGGTGACGTACGCCGCGGCGACCCGGAAGCTGCGCAGTTCAGTTCGGGGCGCTCCCAGGCCGGCTGCCCCGACTCCTCCTTCATTCATTGACTCACCATGGAGGTAGGGTTGTGGCGCTGCGCCTTCCGCATGGCTGATCGCTCCTTATGCTTATTTTATTTATTTATTTTAATATATTTTATTGATATTTCACAGAGAGGAGGAAGGGAGAGAGATAGAGAGCTAGAAACGTCGATGAGAGAGAAACATCGACCAGCTGCCTCTTGCACACCCCCTACTGGGGATGTGCCCACAACCAATGTACATGCCCTTGACCGGAATCGAACCTGGGACCCTTCAGTCCGCAGACCGATGCTCTACCACTGAGCCAAACCGGCTTCGGCTACTTATGCTTATTTACTTACATTTTCGTAACCTTTTTCTTTTTTTTAATCACCCGAAGATATTTTTCCATTCATTTTTATTTTTTAAAATATATTTTTATTGATTTCAGAGAGGAAGAGAGGGGAAGAGAGAAATATCCATAATGAGAGAATCATGGACCGGCTGCCTTTGGCTCGACCCTTACTGGGGATTGAACAAGCAATCTAGGCATGTGCCCTTGATCAGAATTGAACCTGGGATCCTTCAGTCCCCAAGCGGACGCTCTATCCAATGAGCAAACTGGGTAGGGCTTCCATTGATTTTTTAGAGAGAGTGGAAGAGAGAAGGAGAAACAGAGAGAAGCATCAATGTGAGAGAGACACATGGATGGGTTGCCTCCTGCACACCCCCTCCTGGGGATCAAGCCTGCAAACAAGGTAGGGGTCCTTGACCAGAATCAAACCCGGGACCCTTCCACTGAACCGAACACTAGGGCCACTATTTTTTTAGAAAATACGTTTTTACTTATTTCAGAGAGAAAGTGAAAGGGAGAGAGAGATAGAAACATCCATGACGAGAGGGAATCATTGATCAGCTGCCTTCTGCACACATCCCCACTGGGGATCAAACCCACAACCTTCCTGGGCATGTGCCCTTGACCGGAATCGAACCCAGGGCCTTTCAGTCTGAAGGCTGGCGCTCTATCCACTGAGCCAAACCAGCTAGGGCTGGGGCCACTATTCTACTAGTAAATGGCAATACCTCCTCCCTATTGTCTATCCCCCCTTCCCTGCTTTATTTTTCCTCACATTTCTCTTTTATTAACTGCTTGTCTCCTCCCCCGGTTAATTCCAGGAAGGCAGGACTTTTGTTCTGCGCTGTGCTGTGTTCTCAACGCATGTAGAGGTAACCCCATGTCCGCTGCCCTGCACAGGGCCCAGATTTAAATCCACCTATTAGGGGCCCTGTGGCCTTGGGCAAGTGGCCGCCTCTGAGACTACTTCCTCTGTGAAATGAGATAAGAGAGAGGAAGAACCTAAACCAGTTTGGCTCAGTGGATAGAGCGTCGGCCTGCGGACTGAAGGATCCCGGGTTCGATTCCGATCAAGGGTATGTACCTTAGTTGCGGGCACATCCCCAGTAGGGGTGTGCAGGAGGCGGCTGATCGATGTTTCTCTCTCATCGATGTTTCTGGCTCTATCTCCCTTCCTCTCTGTAAAAAAATCTATAAAATATATTAAAAACAAACAAACTGTAGACGTGAGAAGCGCTTTGGTGGAATAACTTTCCGTAAATGGGCACGGAGCCTGTCATCCATGCTTCTCTTCTCTCTGCCCGACCTTCTGGCCAGCAGATAGATACACAGGCTTTCGCTGTCAGGGACCACACCCAACATCCGGGAGCCAGGGGAGCGGGATGTGATTGGGAGTCAGAGGAGGTGACGGAACCTGGCTCTGCTACTTCCGGGCTAGGTGGCACTGGGCAAGTCACCTTGCCCCTCTGAGCCCAAGATTCCTCGTGTGTGACATGGAAGCCGTCCCCCTGGTCCTCACAACATCGCTGTATCCATTCGAGAGATAGGGCAGGCCTCTTGCAGGGCAATAGCCATCCAAAAGGGTTTGTTGCCCTTGCCGGTGTGGCTCAGTGGGTAGAGTGTCGGCCTTCGGACTGAAGGGTCCTGGGTTCGATTCCGGTCAAGGGCACATGCCAGGATTGCTGGCTCGATCCCCAGTGGCAGGCATGCAGGAGACAGCCAGTGATTCTTTTTTTTTTTTTTTTCTAATTGATTTTTCACAGAAAGGAAGAGAGAGGGATAAAGAGTTAGAAACATCGATGAGAGAGAACCATCGATCAGCTGCCTCTTGCACACCCCCTACTGGGGATGTGCCCGCAACCAAGGTACATGGCCTTGACCGGAATCGAACCTGGGACTTTTCAGTCCGCAGGCCGACGCTCTATCCATTGAGCCAAACCGGTCCCGGCCAATCAGTGATTCTTATCATGGATGTTTCTTTCTCTCCCTCCTCCCTTCCTCTCTGAAATCAATAAAAATAAATATTTAAGAAAAGGTTTGTTGCCCTAACTGGTGTAGCTCAGTGGATAGAGCGTCAGCTTGCAGACTGAAGGGTCCCAGGTTCGATTCCGATCAAGGGCATGGACCTTGGTTGCAGACACATCCCCAGCTGGAGGCACCTGATGGAGATTTGTAACATTCTATCCCTCTCCTTCCTCTCTGAGAAAAATCAATAAAATACATATATATATTTTTTTTTTTTAAAAAGGTTCATTGTGGGATTTTCTGGTCAGGCTGGCGCTTCTATTTCTCACCTGTGGGAGGAGGGACTCCCAGAATGGAAAACTCAAGTCTTCAGCAGAAATTCTGGCTTTTCTACCTACCTGCACAGCTTGAGGTGCAGGTGAACAGAGGTTAGCAGCTGGGAAAGAATGTGCAAGAGCAGGCTCTGCCCACAAGGCCAGCCTGCTCACTGGCGTGCGGAATCCTAGACGGAAGAAGGAGACCTTTGTCAAAGCGATTGTGTGGTTTGGAGAGGTTTCGATTTCGCCTACACCAGTGGTTGGCAAACTCATCAGTCCACAGAGCCAAATACCAACAGTTGAGCCGAAACCGGTTTGGCTCAGTGGATAGAGCGTCGGCCTGCGGACTGAAGGGTCCCGGGTTCGATTCCGGTCAAGAGCATGTACGTTGGTTGCGGGCACATCCCCGGTGTGGGGGTGTGCAGGAGGCAGCTGGTCGATGTTTCATTGATGTTTCTAACTCTCTATCCCTCTCTGTAAAAAAATCAATAAAATATATATTTAAAAAAAAAAAAAAAACAGGACAATTGAAATTTCTTTGCAGAGCCACATTTTTTAAACGTAAACTTCTAATGCCACTTCTGCCAACTAGACTCGCCCAGGCCGTGGTATTTTGTGGAAGAGCCGCACTCAAGGGACCAAAGAGCCGCATGTGGCTCGAGAGCCATGGTTTGCCAACCACAGACCTACACCCACGTGGCAGAAACAGGAGGTACAGGTGGGGGGGGGGGGGGAGTCTTCCAGAGGCCCGTCTCTGAGTTCCCGGTCACACACCCTGCCCCTCTCCCGTGACCGAGGCCCTTCCTGGACGTGTCCGATATGAATGAAGGGCAGGAAGGTGACCTCTGAGTCACCGCTGTAAACGGACATCTCATCGGTCCGGGCTGCCTGCCACTTCCTGAGCCAATTCAGCAGAGACAGGGTTGAATCCTATGTGAGCGTTTATTCCAATTCTGCTGCGGGAGGGAGGGAGGTCATCCCCCCAAATCAGCTCTGCAACCTCCCCAAAGCCAGCTGCTTATACACCGAGGGGCCAGATGATGATGATCTCTGAATGTGGAATAGCCTGGCCACTCAGTGTGTGTGTGTGTGTGTGTGTGTGTGTGTGTGTGTGTGTGTGTGTGTGTATGTATATATATATGAGGCCCGGTGCATGAATTCGTGCATGGGTGGGGTCCGGCCAGCCTGGCCAGGGGGAGGAGACATGGGCAATTGGCTGGCCTGCCTGCTGACCAAACTCCTGGTCAAGGGGACAATTTGCATATGAGCCTTTTATTCTTTTTTTAAATTTATTTTACTGAGAGAAAGAGAGAGGGATAGAGAGTTAGAAACATCGATGAGAGAATCATCGATCAGCTGCCTCTTGCACACCCCCCACTGGGGATGTGCCCGCAACCAAGGTCCATGCCCTTGACCGGAATCGAACTTGGGACCTTTCAGTCCACAGGCCGACGCTCTATCCACTGAGCCAAACTGGTTTCGGCTAGCCTTTTATTCTATAGGATATACACAGAATGGCCAGATTATTATGCGTTCAGAGATATCATAACATGGCCACTCTGTGTATCTATACATATTAGAGGCCTGGTGCATGAATTCGTGCATGGGTGGGGTCCGGCCAGCCTGGCCAGGGGGAGGGGACATGGGCAGTTGGTCGGCCTGCCTGCTGGTCGGACTCCTGGTCGAGGGGACCATGTGCATATGAGCCTTTTATTCTATAGGACAGACTCTGAGTGGCCAGATTATTCTTCTGAGGTCAGAGATCATTCTCATCTGGCCACTCGGTGTATAGGGTAGAAGGACAAAGATGATTACATGGGGAAGTAGGAATGACAGGCTTGAGGAACTAGACAGTGCCAGCTGGAGTGGGACTCTTATGGTTTGGGCAACAAGGTTGTTCATCTTCCCACGATAATAGGCAGATCTTGAATGGGAATGGACCCCACGTTCCAGTTCTGCCCCTGACACAGCCACGTTGCCACTGCCCAGCCCTGGGCCCCTGGGCAAGTTACTGCACTGAGCAGTGGACGCATCTGCGAGGAGGAGATAAGGCCCCGCAGAGTGGCTGTCCCGGGTGAGAAAGAACATGTGGCCTGCCCTAACCGGTGTGGCTCAGTGGATAGAGCATCAGCCTGCGGACTGAAAGGTCCCAGGTTCGATTCCGGTCAAGGGCATGTGCCTTGGTTGCGGGCACATCCCCAGTGGAAGGTGTGCAGGAGGCAGCTGATGGATGTTTCTCTCACATCGATGTTTCTAGCTCTTTATCCCTCTCCCTTCCTCTCTGTAAAAAAAAAAAAAAAATCAATAAAATATATTTAAAAAAACAAAAAAGAACCTTGTGGCCTGACCCCTAAGAGGCACTCTGCGGTGATGTCATTTGCTTAAAAAACACAGAAATCGCCCTGGCCTTTGTCACAGTAAGTCTCCGGGCACAGTGAGACCTTTCAATGGTGCCAAGTCTATGCCAGGACCGGTTTGGCTCAATGGATAGAGCGTCAGCTTGGGGACTGAAGGGTCCCGGGTTCGATTCCGGTCAAGGGCATGTACCTTGGTTGCAGACATATCCCCAGTAGGGGGTGTGCAAGAGGCAGCTGATCGATGACTCTCTCATCGATGTTTCTAACTTTCTATCTCTCTCCCTTTCTCTCTGTATAAAATCAATAAAATATATTTTTTTTAAAATGGTGCCAAGTCTAGCCCTACCCAGTGTGGTTTGTGGATAGTGTAGACCTGCGGACTGAAGGGTTCTGGGTTCGATCCTGGTCAAGGGCACCTGCCCGGGTTATGGGCTCGATCACCAGTAGGGGGCGTGCAGGAGGCAGCTGATCCATGATTCTCATCATAGATGTTTCTCTCTCTCCCTCTCTTTCTCCCTTCCTCTCTGAAATCAATTTTTAAAAAATTTTAAGGGTTTGTTGCCACAACTGATGTGGCTCAGTGGGTAGAGCGTCAGCCTCTGCACGGAAGGGCCCTGGGTTCAATTCTGGTTGAGGACAACTGCCGGGGTTGCGGGCTAGATCCCCAGTAGGGGGCGTGCAAGAGGCAGCAGATCCATGATTCTCATCATTGATGTTTCTATGGTTCCCTCTCCCTTCCTCTCTGAAATCAATAAAAATATTTTTAAAATAATAATAATAATAAACAAATGGTGTCAAGTCTCATGCCTGTGTGCAAGGATTCACGGACAGGCAGGCGAGCAAACCCTGGGCTCCCCGCTAAAGTGGCTCAGGGTGATGATGCCCTGCCCTGTGGGAGGGAGGGGGTGCCCTCCGGGGTCAACCGCAATGACCCTTCCTTCTCCACGTGGGACGGGCTGCGCCCACAGGTCAGGGCTCCCCCCGCCGCATGACCCGGGGCGCCAGGTCCCGCAACTTGTCCCCCTGCACCTCTCGAAAATGTGTACACCAGCCCCGCAGCCCCGGGTGCGCCCTGACACCCCGCCTGGAAGTGCTGGGTTAGCCCCGCCCAATTCTGCGCGGGAGGGGGCTTCGCCGGACCAGCCAGCAGCGCCCTCTTCCGGTGATCGACTCCCAAGGCGTAGCCCTCCTTCCGCCCCGATAGCAGGCCACGCCCATATCGTGATCCGCTCCCGAGGCCACGCCCCATGTCAGGCCACGCCCCACACCAGACCACGCCCCTCATTTGTCTTGGTCCTCAGGACGGTGCCCCGCCCCGGGGCCACGCCCTGCTGCTGACCCCGCCCCGGAGTCTGACTCCGCCCAATCATCAAGCTTCGCCCCTTCGCCGAACTCCACCCGCCCTCCTGCCACGCCCTGTCGCCTAGCCACGCCCTTCATCACCTCGGCCCCGCCTAGCCCCGCCCCGCATCCTGACCCCGCCCAATAGCCATCAAGCTCCGCCCCTTCGCTGAGCTCCACCCGCCCTCCGGCCATGCCCTGTCGCCAAGCCACGCCCTTCCATCCCCTTGGTCCCGCCTATCCCCGCGACAGGTCCCGCCCCGCATCCTGACCCCGCCCAATCGCCATCAAGCTCCGCCCCTTCGCTGAGCTCCACCCGCCCTCCGGCCACGCCCTGTCGCTGAGCCCCGCCCACCGGCCGGCCACGCCCCTCCGGGAGAAGGCGCGGCGGGATGCGCCAGGAGCCGGGAGGCCGAGGCGGGAGGCGGCGCCGGTGGCCGGTGCCCGCGCACCATGGGGAACAAGCAGACCATCTTCACGGAGGAGCAGCTGGACAACTACCAGGTGAGCCCGCGCCGCGCCCCTCGCCTCCCGTCGCCGCCGGTCCCCCCTCAGCCCCTCTCAGCCTCTGCCTTCGCCCCAGGCCTGACCTTGCAAGGACGCGATCCCTCGGAGCCTCCAAAGCGGAGCCGAGCGGGGTCCCGCCTGGCGGGGAGGCAGGGACCGCGCCCCGATGGCGGCGGGGAGTCGGGGTGCCTCGCCCTGGCCCGGCGTGGGGATGATGGAGCGAGAAGGCCAGGCAGGTGCCAACCCGCCAGGGTCCCCGCCCCGAGCCCCACGCCGGCCCCTTAGACCTGCCAGGCCCCCTCCCTTGGGGGCTGAGGGTCCCGCCCCACTCGGGGGGCCTCCGCCCGACCTGACTGGGGAGTCGCCTGCGTGCCCTGCGCTGTGGGCACGTGACACCTGCAGGGTCTCTGCTCTGTGGGGTTTGACATGTGGGTCCTCTGCTGGGGCGGCCCTGGCCCCTCCCCGGAGCCCAGGGTGAAGAACAGATCTCCCAGCTCCCACCTTTCCTCCCAACCGCCCCCTCCCCAGGCCCTGACCAGGAATGGGGGACCCACATCCACGCAGCACCTGCTGTGTCCCAGGCACAGTACTACCTCCTGAGCTTACCTTTTAGTCACGGTCTCTGGGTGATGATGGGCCCATTTCACAGACCGGTAAACTAAGGCCCAGGAGCCATTCAGGGGCCCTGCCCGGCCCCGTGGGGGGGCTCCCGCGGAATGGGAATCACTCTGTGTGTTGGGGCTGGGGGCTGTGTGAGATCCTTCTGGAATGACAGGTGGGGAAAGGGGCCCACCTGTGAGCAGGTAGGCCTCGCTGAGGGGCGAAGAGTACCCCGTGGGGGGCGGGGAGGGAGCCCGGGTTCCGGCTCAGACCGGCCTGGCGTTGGGTTACCCGTTGGAGCCGGTCCCTGGGTTGGCTGGACCCCGCTGAACCCGAGAAATGAGAGCCGTGCAACCGGAGCCTCCCGTGTCCCTCCCTGGGGCTCTCCAGCCGGCCACGGGCCAGCCAGGGGGTCCCCGGGTGACCCCGAGTTGTAGCCGCCGCCCCCCCCCAAGTGGGGGACACTGTGAGGGTTTCCCGTCTCCCTCCTGGCCCCCCGGTGCCCGTGATCCCTCAGACTCAGGCTTCTTTCCACATCCGGCTCTGAGACCCCTCACACCCTACCTCAGTGGTCGGCAAACTCATGCGTCCACAGAGCCACATACCAATGGTACAATTGACATTTCTTTTAAAAGCCAATTTTTTAAAAATATATATATATTTTTGATTTCTTACAGAGAGGAAGGGAGAGAGAGAGAGAATTAGAAACATCAGTCAGCTGCCTCCTGCACACCCCCCACCGGGGATGTGCCCGCAACCAAGGTCCATGCCCTTGACCGGAATCGAACCCGGGACCCTCCAGTCTGCAGACCGACGCTCTATCCACTGAGCCACACCGGTTTCGGCTTTTTAAAGTTAAACTTTAAACTTAAACTTCTTCTAATGCCACTTCTTCAACACAGACTCGCCCAGGCTGTGGTATTTTGTGGAAAAGCCACACTCAAGGGGCCAAAGAGCCCCATGTGGCTCCCCAGCCTCGGTTTGCCAACCACGGGGCTAGAGCAAACATGTCAAACTCGCGGCTGGGGGGCCGCACGCCTCATTTGCTGGGCCCAGGTTAGCCTTTGAGTTTGACATGCTCGCTCCAGAACGTGGCTGACCGGGCCGGCGTGGCTCCGTGGCTGAGCGTCCACCTAGGAACCAGGAGGTCCCTGTTCGATTCCCGGTCGGGGCACAGGCCCGGGTTGCGGGCTGGATCCCTGGTGGGGGGGCGTGCAGGAGGCAGCCGATCCATGATTCTCACTCATCATGGATGTTTCTCTCTCTCTCTCTCTCTCTCTCTCTTTCTCCCTTCGTCTCAGAGATCAATAAAAATATATATGTTTTGTTTTGTTATGTATTTTATTGATTTTTACAGAGAGGAAGAGAGAGGGAGAGAGAGTTAGAAACATCGATGAGAGAGAAACATCCATCCGCTGCCTCCTGCACGCCCACCACTGGGGATGTGCCCGCAACCAAGGTCCATGCCCTTGACTGGAATCGAACCCGGGACCTTTCAGTCCGCAGGCCGACGCTCCATCCACTGTGCCACACCGGTTTTGGCAGCAAAATATATTTTTTAAAAATAAAAATAAGCCGAAAACCGGTTTGGCTCAATGGATAGAGCGTCGGCTTGGGGACTGAAGGGTCCCGGGTTCGATTCCGGTCAAGGGCATGTACCTTGGTTGCGGGCATATCTCCAGAGGGGGTGTGCAAGAGGCAGCTGATCGATGACTCTCTCTCATCGATGTTTCTAACTCTCTATCTCTTTCCCTTCCTATCTGTACAAAATCAATAAAATATATTTTAAAAAATAAATAAATAAATAAATAAAAAATAAAAATAAAAATAAAAATAAAAAGGAGGGTGCGAAAATAAATAAATGAATGAATGAAAGCTTGCTGGTTGCCTCCCCCAGACCCCAGGGCTTCACCTCCGCTGTCCGGCCACCACCTGTTCTGTAACAAGTCCTGTAACTCAGCCCTGCCCGCGCCCTCCTCCCCCTCGCTCCTCTCTCCTGGGGATCCCTGCTCTGTGATCGGCCAGGGTCTCATCAGGATGAAGGGCTACCTCCTACTTCCTTGTCCACCCCCCCTGGCGGCCCCTAGGCCTCCCACCCTCTGCCACAACCCCTTCCTTTTCTCCCCCCTCCTTCCTACCTCCCCCTTCTCTCCCTTCTCTTTCTTTCTTTCTTTTAAATATATCTTATTGATTTTTTTTTACAGAGAGGAAGAGAGAGGGATAGAGAGTTAGAAACATCGATGAGAGACAAACATCCATCAGCTGCCTCCTGCACCCCCCCCACCCCCACTGGGGATGTGCCCGCAACCAAGGCACATGCTCCTGACCGGAATCGAACCCGGGACCCTCCAGTCCGCAGGCAGATGCTCTATCCACTGAGCCACACCGGTTTCAGCATGGATGTGTCTCTCTCCCATCGATGTTTCTCTCTGTCTCTCCCTCTCTTCTCTCCCACTCTCTCTAAAAATCAGTGGGAAAATACCCTTGGGGAGGGCTAACAATGAAAAGAAAATAGTGGATGCCCTGCCCTGTCCAGTGGCCACCAGTTCCTCCCAGTCCCCTTCCCAGTGTGACCTCGTGGATTCCTGTGGTTTCAGCTGCCCCTCAGACACCCAGCTCCCTCAACTCCCCGCTCAGGGGCTGTGCCATGGGGGTGGCCCCATCCGCCCCCAGGTGTGAGCTGGGTCCCAGCCGCTGCCCCTCTGATCCCACAGGGCTCCCTCCGGCCCCTAGACCCGCAGCCCCCCCCCCCCCCGTGCCCCTCCGGGCCCTCCGTGCCCTCCAGCACAGCCCTGTCCTTCACGTGGGCCCCTGGATGGGGCTGGGGCATCAGGAGGACCCCGGTGGGCTGGCTGGCCTGACTGTCCGGGCATCCGGGGTGGGGGTAGGGGTGGGGGTGGGGGTCCTGGGAGGGGGACCCAGGACTCCGTAATGACCCTGTCTGTTTTCTCGGCAGGACTGCACCTTCTTCAATAAGAAAGACATCCTCAAGTGAGTGTGCCTCCCGCTCACCCCTCGAACCCGGGACCGAGGGGGACAGGGCCCGGGACCCCGCGTGCGTGGGCTGGTGGGTCACCCAGCCTGAGCCCCGAGCCGGGGGAGGGCCTGTCACCGGCGGAAGCCAAGTGTGGCGTGACCCCAGACACTTCCCACCCCGGCCCCAGCCGGTGTGGCTCAGTGGGTAGCGCGTCGGCCCGCGCACAGAAGGGTCCCGGGTTCCACTCGGTTGTGGGCTCGGTCCCCCTTGGTTGTGGGTAGGGGAACTGGGCCTAGGACAGGAGAGAGGAACGGGGTGGGGGGGGGGAGCCTCAGAGCCCTGGGAGGCACCCAATGCCAGGACACCCGGCCCTGCAGCCACAGGGGCCCCGGATCACGTTCCCCGAGGCGGCCCGGCCCCCGGCCCCGGCCCCGGGGCTGCGGCGGCCGGCCGGGCCCTGACCGCCCTGCTCTGCTCGGCCAGGCAGGTCTTCCTCGCTGCCCCTGGGCAGCAAGGGCACCCCATGGTGGGTGCAGGGCAAGGTGGAGGGAGGGGTGGGGGCAGGAGGGAGGGGTGGAGGGCCAGATCTGAGCCCCAGGTGCTTCTGTGAAACGGGGACCAGGCCTGGCCAGTGTGGCCCAGTGGTTGGCGTGGACCTATGAACCAGGAGGTCCCAGTCAGGGCGCAGGCTAAGGTTGCAGGTTCCATCCCCGGGGGGGGGGGGGGGGGGGGGGGCGTGCGGGAGGCAGCCGGTCTATGGCTCTCATCATGGAGGATTCTCTCCCTCTCCCTTCTTCTCCGAAATCAATAACCATGTGTTTTAAAAAAAAATACAATAAAATAGGAACCACATTCCCCGCTCAGAGCAGGGCTGAGAGCCCCGAGCGCTGGGTGTGGAGATAAATGGGCCCCGGTCCCCGAGGCCGCAGACTGCTCCCAGGGCCACTCAGGGCTGCCACCCCTCCCACCTCCTCCCTCCCCCTCCCTCTTCTTCCCTCCCTCCCCCTCCTCCCTCCCCTTCCCTCCCTCCCCCTCCTCCTTCCTCCCCCTCCCTTTCCTTTCCCTCCCTCTCCTCCCTCCCCTTCCCTGCCCCTCCCTCTTCTTCCCTCCCTCCCCCTCCTCCTTCCTCCCCCTCCCTTTCCCTTCCCTCCCTCTCTCTCCCTTCCTCCCCCTCCCTCCCCTTCCCTCCTCCTCCCTCTTCTTCCCTCCCTCCCCCTTCTCCTTCCTCCCCCTCCCTTTCCCTTCCCTCCCTCTCCTTCCTCCCCTTCCCTGCCCCTCCCTCCCCTTCCCTCCCTCCCCCTCCTCCTTCCCTCCCCCTCCCTTTCCCTTCCCTCCCTCTCTCTCCCTTCCTCCCCCTCCCTCCCCTTCCCTCCCCCTCCCTCTTCTCCCCTCCCTCCCCCTCCTCCTTCCCTCCCACTCCCTCCCTTTCCCTTCCCCTTCCTTCCTTCCTCTCCCTCCCTCCCCCTCCCTCCTCTTCTCTCCCTCCCCCTTTTACCACCCCTTCCTCCCTCTCCCTCCCCTCCCCTCCCCCTCCCTCCCTCTCCCTCCCCTTCCCTCCCCCTCCCTCCCTCTCCCTCCTCTTCCTTCCCCCTCCCTCCCCCCCTTCTCCCCCTCTCCCCACCTCCCTCCCCTTCCCTCCCTCCACCTCCCACATCCTCCCTCCCCCTCCTCCTCCTCCCTCCTCCCTCCCTTTCCCTCCCCTTCCCTCCCACCATCTCCCTCCTCTTCCTTCCCCTTCCCTCCCCTTCTCCTCCCTCCCTCTCCCTTTCTCCCCCTCCCTCCCCTTCTCTCCCTCCCCTCCCCCTCCTCCTCCTCCCACCTCCTTCCCCTTCCCTCCCCCTTCCTCCCACCCCCTCCCTCTCCCTCCTCCTCCCACCCCCTCCCTCCCTTTCCCCTCCTCTCCCTCCCTCCCCCTTCCTCCCCTTCCCTCCTCCTCCCTCCCATCCCCTCCCTCCACCTCCGCCCTCTCCTACCCTCTCCCTCCTCCCACACATCCCCCCTCTCTCCCCCCCTCCCTCCCATCTCCCTCCCCACGAGGGGTGTGAGCACTGAGCCCTGAGCAGAGGGAGGAAAGGTGAGCTGCGGGTTTGCTTTGCAGCCTGGGCCGGCTCAGTGATCCCGGTCCAGCTCAGATAACCATCAGACATCGTCGCACCTCCCCCCGCTGGGTCTGGTTGCCCCTGGCCACAGCCCTCCCTCCCCGACGGACCAAGTGGGCAGCCCCCCACCCGCCACCTTTGTTCCTACAGGCGAGAGCTCAGCGCCCCCCCCACCCCCGCTCGGCTGCGCCCCATCAAGGCACACACAGCCCGCCCGCAAGCAGCCTGGTGTGACTCTATCGTTGCTTATGTTTTCCCGTCTTTTCAATAAAAACTTACCTTTTTTTAATATATATTTTATTGATTTTGTACAGAGAGAAAGGGAGAGAGAGAGCTAGAAACATCGATGAGAGAGAATCATCGATCAGCTGCCTTTTGCACACCCCCTACTGGGGATATGCCCGCAACCAAGGTACAAGCCCTTGACCGGAATCGAACCTGGGACCCTTCAGTCTGCAGGCCGACGCTCTATCCATTGAGCCAAACAGGTTTTGGAAAAAAAAAAAAAAAAAATTTACCTTTTATTTATTTTTATTTTTAATGTATTTTATTGATTTTTTTACAGAGAGGGATAGAAAGTTGGAAACATCGATGAGAGAGAAACATCCATCAGCTGCCTCCTGCACTCCCCCCACTGGGGATGTGCCCGCAACCGAGGCACATGCCCTTGACCGGAATCGAACCCGGGACCTTTCCGTCCGCAGGCCGACGCTCTATCCACTGAGCCACACTGGTTTCGGCAAAACTTACCTTTTATTGTCGAAAGCATCACAGATGTCACACACACACACACCTTTTTTTTCAAACCCGCCCCTGAGGATATGTTCCCATTGATTCTTAGAGAGGGGGCGGGAGAGGGGGAGAGACAGAGAGACATCAACGTGGGGGAAACCACCGATGGGCCGTCTCCTGCACGCCCCCGACAGGGTCCCGGGCCAGGGAGGAGCCTGCCACCGAGGGACGACGTGCCCCTGACCCAGAATCGAACCCGGGACCCTTCAGTCCCACAGGCCGACGCTCTAACCACTGGGCCACACCGGCCGGGCTGGAGGGATAGACTTTGAAAGCTTTTGAGTTTCTATTGTGAAACCACCCAGGGCCCTCACCGGGGCCTGGGGCCTGGGGTCTGGGTCCCACCCCCCCTCCTGCAGCGCCTCCTCTCTCTTCCTCCCCTTCTCCCCGCCAGGCTGCATGCCCGTTTCTACGAGCTGGCCCCCAACGTGGTGCCCATGGACTACAGGAAGAGCCCCATCGTCCACGTGCCCATGAGTCTCATCATCCAGATGCCAGAGCTGCGGGTAGGGAGGGGGCACTGCCTGGGGGGGGGGTAGGGGGCGTGTGGAGGGGGGGCAGGGGGACAGGGTAGGGAGGGGGCGCTGCCTGGGGGGGGGCAGGGGGACAGAGTAGGGAGGGGGCGCTGCCTGGGGGGTAGGGGGAGTGTGGAGGGGGTCAGGCGGGCAGGGGGGACAGGGTAGGGAGGGGGCACTGCCTCAGGAGAGGCAGGGGGAGCATCAAAGGGGGGGAACAGCAGGAAGCGGGGACGGGCGGGCTGAGCACAGGGTCCTGGGTTCGATTCCGGTCCAGGGCACGTACATGCCAGGGTGGCAGGCACCTCCCCGGCCCGGGCCCTGGTTGGGGCTGGTGTGCAGGAGGCAGCCCATCGCTGTGTCTCTCTCCCATTGACGTTTCTCTCCGTCTCTCCCTCTCCCTTCCACGCTCTCTAAACATCCATGGGGAATATCCGGGGGGAGGATTACAAAAATAAAATAAAATGAAAATAAAACACAGCCGTAACTGGCTTGGCTCAGTGGATAGGGCATCAGCCCGCGGACTGGAAGGTCCCAGGTTCAATTCCAGTCAAGGGCATGGACCTTGGTTGCGGGCACATCCCCGGTGGGGGGTGTGCAGGAGGCAGCTGGTCGATGATTCTCTCTCATCGATGTTTCTAACTTTCTATCCCTCTCTCTTCCTCTCTGTAAACAATAAAATACATTTAAAATAAATAAAATAAAAGGCAGGCGGGCAGCGGGGACAGGGTAAGTGAGGGGGTACACTGCCTGGGGTGGGGCAGGAGAGCATGGGAGGGTGGGACAGCAGGAAGGGGGGGACGGACGGGCTGGGCACAGGGACCATGCCCCTCTGGGGGGCTCCACGGTCGCCTCCCTGTGCCTCAGTTTCCTCCCTGCCCTGTGAGGCAGCGAGCCCCGTGTGGGGCTCTGAAGGCAGCTCAGGGCCACACTCACTCACTTGTCCGTGTTCCGTGGCAGGTCGGCCATGCTGCCCAGCCCACACGTCTGTGTTTTCATGTCATTTTTATTTTATTTTTAAATATATTTTATTGACATTTTGCAGAGAGGAAGAGAGAGGGAGAAACATCGATGAGAGAGAATCATCCATCAGCTGCCTCCTGTACGCCCCCCACCGGGGATGTGCCCGCAACCAAGGTCCATGCCCTTGACCGGAATCGAACCCGGTACCTTTCAGTCCGCAGGCCGACGCTCTATCTCCTGAGCCACACCTGTGTTTCGGCCACCTCCAGGTTTTTACTGGCAAGGAACCACCTGGGTTGACCGTGTGAAAATGCCAGAACGGGGAGTGGTTTTTATTTGTTTGTTTTTGTTCATCCTTATCCAAGGGTGTGGTTTTTTTCCATCGATTTTTAGAGACTGCAGAAGGGAGGGTGGGAGGCAGAGAGAGGGAGACAGACACAGACACACACACACACACACACACACACACACACATCAGTTGCCTCCTGCACGTACCTCAACGGGGGTGGGAGATCAAGCCTGCAGCCCAGGTACATGCCCTCAGGTCTGAGGGCCAGTGTTCTAACCACTGAGCCACCTAACGAGTTCCCCGGGCGGCGGGGCTGATCCCTCCAGTCCTCAGACCACGTCTGCGTTTGACATAAAAGTGTCACCCAGCCCCGGCCGGTGTGGCTCCGTGGATAGAGCATCGGCCTGTGGACTGAAGGCGTCCCGGGTTCGATTCCCGTCAAGGGCATGGATCTTGGTTGCGGGCATGTGCCCAGTCGGGTGTGTGCAGGAGGCAGCTGATGGATGTTTCTCTCTCATCGATGTTTCTCACTCTCTCTCCCTCTCCCTTCCCTCGACCGGGAGTTCGACCAGCAGGCAGGCTGGCCAACCGCCCATGTCCCCTCCCCCTGGCCAGGCTGGCCGGACCCCACCCACGCACGGATGCATGCACCAGAGTGGCCAGATTATTAGGTGTTTAGAGATCAGAATCATCTGGCCACTCCGTGTCTGTCCTATAGAATAAAAGGCTCATAGGCACATGGTCCCCTCGACCAGGAGTCCGACCAGCAGGCAGGCCGGCCAACTGCCCGTGTCCCCTCCCCCTGGCCAGGCTGGCCGGACCCCACCCATGCACGGATGCATGCACCGGGCCTCTCTCTCATACACACACACACACACACACACACACACACACACACACGGAGTGGCCGGACGATTATGCATTCACAGATTATCATCATCTGGCCGCTCCGCGTGTATACATTTTATTGATGTCAGAGAGGAAGGAAGAGCGAGAGAGAGAGAGAGAGAGAGAGAGAGAGAGAGAGAGAGAGCGCGAGAGAGAGAGAGAGAGAGAGAGACATCCACACGGAGAGAGAATCACGGACCGGCTGCCTCCTGCACGCACGGCCGCCTCCCTGTGCCTCATGCTGGGGTGGGGTCGGGGGATGGGGGGCACTCGGGGGGCTGTGCCGCCTGCAGGCTGTGAGCTGTGTGGCCTGGCTCCTCCCCGGTGACACCCCCCCCCCCCCCCCGTTCCCGATTCCTCCCAGGAGAACCCCTTCAAGGAGCGCATCGTGGAGTCCTTCTCGGAGGACGGCGAGGGCAACCTCACCTTCGATGACTTCGTGGACATGTTCTCCGTGCTCTGCGAGTCCGCGCCCCGCGACCTCAAGGCCAACTACGCCTTCAAGATCTACGGTGAGGCCAGACCCCTGTGGCTCAGTGGGTAGAGCGCCGGCCTCTGGACTGAGGGGTCCCGGGTTCGATTCCGGGCAAGGGCATGGACCTTGGTTGCGGGCACATCCCCAGTAGGGGGTGTGCAAGAGGCAGCTGATCAATGATTCTCTCTCATCGATGTTTCTAGCTCTGTATCTCTCTCCCTTCCTCTCTGTACAAAATCAATAAAATATATTTAAAAATATATATTTTATTGATATGGACCTTGGTTGCGGGCACATCCCCAGTAGGGGGCGTGCAAGAGGCAGCTGATCAATGATTCTCTCTCATCGATGTTTCCAACTCTCTCTCCCTCTCCCTTCCTCTCTGTAAAATATCAATAAAGTATTTTAAAAAATAAAAAAAAATCTACAGTGAGGAGCGGGGGAGTGAGTGGGGGGAGCTCCTTGAGGTGGGGAGCCCTGCTGCCAGGGTGAGGCCATCCCAGCCCTCCGTCCTGTCCCCACCGGCCACCAGGGGCCGCTGTGCACGCCGTGCTGACCTCAGACGGGGACGCTGAGGCCAAGGCCCACAGACACCCCTGTCCCCCGGCCCCCGTTTATTTTTATTGATGTCCCAAGAGGAAGGGAGAGGGAGAGAGGAACATCCATGATGAGAGAGAATCCCTGATCGGCTGCCTCCTGCACGCCCCCCACTGGGGATGGAGCCGCAGCCCGGGCCTGTGCCCTGACCGGGAATCGAACCCCTGACCTCCTGGTTCACAGGACGACGCCGGCCGGGCTGGGATGTGGCCAGTGGAGAGGCAGCGGGGGGAGGTGCTCGGCATGGCCGCCCTGGTCTGAGCACCCGCCCACCTGCACCCTGTCCCCCTCCCCTGCCCCCCTCACTCTATCTCCCCCCCCCCTCCCCCCACACACACACAGACTTCAACACGGACAACTTCATCTGCAAGGAGGACCTGGAGATGACGCTGGCGAGGCTCACCAAGTCGGAGCTGGAGGAGGACGAGGTGGTGCTGGTGTGCGACAAGGTCATCGAGGAGGCCGACCTGGACGGCGACGGCAAGCTGGGCTTCTCCGACTTCGAGGACATGATCGCCAAGGCGCCCGACTTCCTCAGGTGCCGCCCGGGACCCGGCCAGTGCGGCTCAGTGGGTAGAGCGTCGGCCTGGGCCTCGCCCCTCCCCAGCCTCAGCTCCCCTCCCTCCCCTCCAGCCCAGGCCTCACCTTCTCCCACCCTTGTCTCTCTCTCTCTCTCTCTCTCTCCAGCACCTTCCACGTCCGGATCTGAGGACACCGCTGAGGTCCCGCCGTCCACCTCTGCTGTCCGCATGGCTCTGCCCTCCCAGCCGGCAGGACGGGAGCTGGGCCTCCGGGCTGACCCACGGGCACGTCCTGGGCCCTTTCAGCAAAAAAACCCTCCTCCACGGGCAGGGCAAGGGGGAGGAGCCGGCTCCCAGCCCTGTGGTCCAGCCCGGCTCGGCCCCAGGGCGCCCCTCACAGGCCCTCCCTCTGCCCCGACCGCCCCTGTGCCCGGCCCCCCCTCACGGTGCCCCCACCCCACCCCCTGGCTGCCCAGGGCACAGAATTTTTTTTTTTAATCTATTTTTATTCATTTCAGAACTAAAGGGAGAGGAAGAAGAGAGAGAGAAACATGGATGATGGGAAAGGATCATGGACCGGCTGCCTCCTGCACGCCCCCCGCTGGGGATTGCACCCACAACCCAGGCCTGTGCCCCGACCGGGAATCGAACCCTGACCTCCTGGTTCCCAGGTCAATGCTCAGCCCCTGAGCCAGGCCGGCTGGGTAGCCGGGCAAAGATGAAGTTTTCACAAACTATGCAATCTTTCCCGCCCCCCTCCTCCGGTCTCCCCGCCTTCCTGCCCTTCCCGTGTGCAGCCGTGTGCAGCCGTGTGAGCCGTGGGCCCGGGGCCCCGTCCCGGCGTCCTCACGGGCTGCGCCCACCCGCCTGGGGACTGAGAGTAAAAAGCCGTCCCGTCCCCGCGCCGTCTGGTCTGTCTGTGCGTCGCCTCCCTCCTCACCCTCCGCCCTCCCTCCGTCGGCCCCTCACCTCCCGCCTGAGTGGGGTTCAGCCTGGGTCAGCGGGAGGAGGGGCACCGTCCGCCCCGTCTCCGGGGAGCCCCATGGGGGCGCTCTTTCTATAAGAATCGTGTCCCGTCCATCTCCTTCCTGACGACCGTGGTTCCCGTGGACACAGACCGGGCTCCCCGTGGCCCGGCACCGGCTCCCGTGGACACAGGCCGGGCTCCCCGTGGCCCGGCACCGGCTCCCGTGGACACAGGCCGGGCTCCCTGTGGCCCGGCACCGGCTCCCGTGGACACAGGCCGGGCTCCCCGTGGGCCGGCACTGGCTCCCGTGGACACAGGCCGGGCTCCCTGTAGCCCGGCACCGGGTCCCGTGGACACGGACCCAGCTCCCCGTGGCCTGGCACCGGCTCCCGTGGACACGGACCCGGCTCCCCGTGGCCCGGCACCGGCTCCCGTGGACACAGGCCAGGCTCCCTGTGGCCCGGCACCGGCTCCCGTGGACACAGGCCGGGCTCCCTGTGGCCCGGCACCGGCTCCCGTGGACATAGGCCGGGCTCCCTGTGGCCCGGCACCGGCTCCCGTGGACACAGACCGGGCTCCCCGTGGGCCGGCACCGGCTCCCGTGGACACAGGCCGGGCTCCCTGTGGCCCGGCACCGGGTCCCGTGGACACAGGCCGGGCTCCCTGTGGCCCGGCACCGGCTCCCGTGGACACGGACCCAGCTCCCCGTGGCCCGGCACCGGCTCGCAGCCCTGCTCAGCCCCGACAGCGCCCACCTCTTTACTTAAACACTAGAGGCCCAGGCACGGAATTCCGGCAGGGGCGTCCGGGGTGTCCTTCAGCCCAGCCCGCACCCTCACCAACCTGGGACCCTGGGGGGGATCGGGCCTAAACGGGCAGCCAGTCGGACGTCCCTCTCACAATCCAGGACTGCTGGCTCCCTACCGCTTGCCTGCCTGCCTAATTGCCCCTAACCATTCCCCTACCAGCCTGATTGCCCCTAACTGCTCCCCTGACAGCGTGATTGATGCTAACTGCTCCCCTGTCAGCCTGATTGCCCCTAACCGCTCCCCTGACAGCCTGATTGCCCCTAACCGCTCCCCTGACAGCTGATTGCCCCTAACCGCTGCCCTGACAGCCTGATTGCCCCCTAACCGCTCCCCTGCCACCCTGATTGATGCTAACTGCTCCCCTGCCAGCCTGATTGCCCCTAATTGCCCTCCACTGCCAACCTGGTCACCCCTAACTGCCCTTCTCTGTAAGCCTGGTCCCCCCCCCCAACTGTCCTCCCCTGTAGGCCTGGTCACCCTCAACTGCCCTCCCCTGCAGGCCTGGTCACCCTCAACTGCCCTCCCCTGCAGGCCTGATCACCCCAACTGCTCTCCCCTGCAGGCCTGGTCACCCTCAACTGCCCTCCCCTGCAGGCCTGATCACCCTCAACTGCCCTCCCCTGAGGCCTGATCACCCTCAACTGCCCTCCCCTGCAGGCCTGATCGCCCCCAACTGCCCTCCCCTATAGGCTGTCTTGTGTCCACATGGGGGTGGCCATCTTGTGTGTTGGAGTGATAGCCAATTTTCATATTACCTCTTTATTATATAGGATTTTCTTATTTATTTTTTATTTCAGAGAGGAAGGGAAGAGAGAGAGAGTCACATCGCTGGGTTGCCTCCTGCACATGCCCCAACCAGGTACATGCAACCCAGGTACATGCCCTTGACCGGGATTGAACCTGGGACCCTTTGGTGTGTAGGCCGACGCTTTACCCACTAAACCATACCAGCCAGGGCTGGTCTCTCTCCGGACAGGGCGGCCCTGGGAGAGGTCATAGCTGGGGCTGCAGGCACCTGGCAGGTCCCTCCTGGTGTGTCTCTGAGCGTGGCTCCCTCCCAGGCCGGGCAGATTGAGGGCCTCCTGGGGACCCTGGCCTGGTCCGGGGTCCGGGAGATCCAGAGCTGGGGGGTGGGGTTGGGGGGGCAGGGAGCGGCCAGGGCAGGTCTCAGGGTCTGGGCTTCTGGTCTGCAAAGAAGAGCCGTCGGACCCTCATCGGTATGGCTCAATGGATAAAGCCTCGGCCTGCGGACTGAAGGGCCCCGGGTTCGATTCCGGTCAAGGGCATGTACCTTGGTTGCAGGCACATCCCTGGTTGGGGGTGTGCAGGAGGCAGCTGATCGATGATTCTCTCTCATCGATGTTTCTAACGCTCTATCCCTCTCCCTTTCTCTCTGTAAAAAAATCAACAAAAATATATTTTTAAAAAGGGTGTGTGTGCGAGTCTGACCCCAAACAGGCGCACCTTCCATTCGTTCACACCAGGGGGCTGTCATGTTGGCTGCTGTCATTTTAAAAATGTGTTCTTTTATTGATTTCAGAGAGGATTGGGAGAAGGAGAGAGAAATGTCCACGATGAGAGAGAATCACGGATCGGCTGCCTCCTGCACGCCCCCTACTGGGGGGTCGAGCCCGCAACCCGGGCCTGTGCCCTTGACCGGGAATCGAACCCTGTGTCAAGGCTCAACCACGGAGCCACGCTGGCCAAGCAAGTTGTTGTCATTTTTATTTCTTTCTTTCTTTTTTTTTTTTTTTAATAATCTAGGGCAGTGGTCGGCAAACTGCACCTCATGAGCCACATGCAGCTTGGGAGCCACAGTTTGCCGACCACAGCTTTAAGGGAAAAGAGGTCAGTGTCCCTGACCAAACAGTCAGATAGAGCATCTATGCAGCTTGAGTGGCCAGATGATGGTGATCTCTGATTGGATAATAATCTGGCCACTCGTGTGTGTGTGCGTGTGTGTGTGTGTGTGTGTGTGTTTGTGTGTGTATTAAAGGCCCGGTGCATGAATCCGTGCATGGGTGGGGTCCGGCCAGCCTGGCCAGGGGGAGGGGACATGGGCGGTTGGCAGGCCTGCCTGCTGGTCGGACTCCTGGTCAAGGGGACCATGTGCATATGAGCCTTTTATTCTATAGGACAGACACGGAGTGGCCAGGTTATTATGCGTCCAGAGATCATCACCATCTGGCCACTCAGCGTATATACCCTGTTTCCCCGAAAATAAGACATCCTCCGAAAATAAGACCTACTTACAGGTTTCCTTCTGAGTGAAATATAAGCCCCCCCCCCCCCCGCCAGGCTCTGTCTCAGAATGCTATTGCTAAACATGAGAGATTTGGTCCACTGATTCTGAAAGAAATGGAGTCACAGGAAATTCACCAGGAAGTTCAGGAATTGGATTGTGAGGATGATGTTCCAGAAGATGATGACATGACTGTCATTCAATAAATGAGTGAATTCTTGATACTGTAGGATTCACAGTTTGTCTGATTTGTGTTGACAACGACCGTACTGCCATACCGTACACAGGTAATAAATTTCCTTTATTTTCATTTAACAATAAATGTGTCCCGTATTCTTCTTCATGGGAAAATAAGACATCCCCTGAAAATAAGACCTAGCGTATCTTTGGGAGCAAAAATTAATATAAGACACTGTCTTATTTTTGGGGAAACGGGGTAACAGCCTGTGACTGGCGGACCAGCCAGTAGCGATGACATACAATGACCACCAGGGGGCAGATGCTCCACTCAGGAGCTGCGAGCTGCAATGACTTGGCAGCTGTGGTTCTCGGGTGAGGCACCCAGACCAGAGAGGAGGGAGCTTGATTCCGGGGTGCTCAGTGAGCCAGTTTCAGCCAGAACCCCACAAGCAAGGACACCTGCCCCGGTTGTGGGCTCCACCCCCAGCAGAGCGTGGCTGTTCCTATCTCTCTCCCCCTTTCCCTTCTTTTCTCAAATCAATAAGAATAGCCTAACCGATGTGCACAGAGTGTCGGACCTGGGACTGAAGGGTCCCGGGTTCCAATCCGGTCAAGGGCATGGACCTTGGTTGTGGGCACATCCCCAGTGGGGGGTGTGCAGGAGGCAGCTGATGGATGTTTCTCTCTCATCTGATGTTTCTAACGCTCCCTCTCCCTTTCTCTCTGTAAAAAAATAAAATAAAATAAAAATAGCCGAAACCGGTGTGGCTCAGTGGATAGAGCATCGGCCTGCAGACTGAAAGATCCTGGGTTTGATTCTGATCAAGGGCATGTACCTTGGTTGTGGGCACATCCCCAGTGGGGGGTGTGCAACAGGCATCTGATCAATGATTCTCATCAATGTTTCTAACTCACTCTCCCTCTATTTCTCTCTGTAAAAAAAAAAATCAATAAAATATATATTTTAAAAAATACATACATATTAAAAACCAAAAACCAATAACAAGTGGCTGACGACACAGCCCGTGAGCATCTTTCTGGGTGACCTTCTCGGGGTTCCCCCCCCCCCGAGGGGGCCCAGACACAGCACCCTCAGGAGAGGGTCCCGCTCGGAGGGTCCGTGACCATCTCCTGGTCACGGGAGGAGCATGACCTTGAGCGAGGACGGCCTGGGACGAGGAAGTGCCGAGGCGACAGACGGAAACTTAGAATCCTGGGGACTTCCCAGCCCCGGGCCGCGGGGGGCAGGGCTGAGGGCCCCCACGTGCTCGGTGACTCCGGCCACGGCCCTGCGTGGACCGCTCCCCTGCCCCCAAAGCCTGTGGGGGAGGGGGTTCCTTTCTCTCCGCGCTGTTTTTGTTTGTTTTTAAAAAATATATATATATATATTTTAAAATATATTTTATTGATTTTTTACAGAGAGGAAGGGAGAGGGATAGAGAGTTAGAAACATCGATGAGAGAGACTCATCGATCAGCTGCCTCTTGCACCCCCCCCACCGGGGATGTGCCCGCAACCAAGGTCCATGCCCTTGACCGGAATCGAACCCGGGACCCTTCAGTCCGCAGACCTAAGACCAGTTTCGGCTGGGGGCTGCGAGCTTCCAGGAGTGGGAGCCAGGTGTCCAGTGTCTGTCTGAGTTCGGGCATCACCGACAGCAGGCGGAGGCAGGGAGCAGGGACGGGCTGCATGTGTGTGTGTGTGTGTGTGTGTGTGTGTGTGTGTGTGTGTGTGTTGGAGGAATTGGCTTTGGGATGGAGGCCTCCTGGGACATTCCGGGCTATGCCAAATACCCTGGACTTATCATCTCGTCTACACCTCACCACAGCACTCGGAGGTCATTGCTATCACTGTGCCATTGTACAGGCGAGGAAACTGAGGCCTGGGGCGGCCCGGGGGTCACACAGCCCCTCCCTCCATGTGGAAGCCTCTGGGGCCCAGCAATCCCCCTCACACGCACCCCCTCTATAAGGGCAGGAAGTGCGAAAAGCAACTCCGCCGCCCAAATTTCCCCTTTTCAGCAATCGCAGGCACTTCCTCCCGGTTGGCCGTTTCCTCTGGTCACTGGGTTTTCTGGAGGCCGAGGGGGCAGGGGCTCACGTGGGCAGTGGGCACGCAGGGCTGGCCCTCTGGCACGCAGCACCCCCACACGGGGCCCAGGCGGGCTGCGTATGGCGGGCTCCTGGCCCCAGGACGCCGGCATTTCACCTGAGAGACCTTCCTTCCTCAGGACGGTGCCCACTCTCCGTCTGCTCTCTTGGATTGTCAGCGCTCACTTTATTTTTTTATATGTATATATTTTATTGATTTTTTTTTTTTTTTTACAGAAGAGGGATAGAGAGTTAGAAACATCGATGAGACAGAAACATCCAGCAGCAGCCTCCTGCACATTCCCCACCGGGGATGTGCCCGCAACCAAGGTACATGCCCTTGACCAGAATCAAACCCAGGACCCTTCTATCCGCAGGTCGATGCTCTATCCACTGAGCCACACCGGTCAGGGCTCACTTTTAAAAAGCAAATACCTGTAAAAAAATCAATAAAATATTTTTTTTTTATTGATTTTTCACAGAGAGGAAGGGAGAGAGATAGAGAGCTTGAAACGTCGATGAGAGAGAAACACCGAGCTGCCTCCTGCACACCCCCCACCGGGGATGTGCCCGCAACCAACGTACATGACCCTGACCGGAATCGAACCTGGGACCTTTCAGTCTGCAGACCGACGCTCTACCTCTGAGCCAAACCAGTGTCGGCAATAAAATATTTCTTTAAAAAAAATTTAATAAAAAGCAAATACCTGGAGCCCAGCCAAGGTGGCTCAGTGGTTGAGCATCGACCTAGGAACCAAGAGGTCACGGTTAGATTCCCGGTCCGGGCACAGGCCGGGTTGTGGGGTTGTGGGCTGGATCTCCAGTGTGGGGCGTGCAGGAGGCAGCAGGTTCATGATTCTCTCTCATCATGGACATTTCTATCTCCCTTTCCATTCCTCTCCGAAGCCAAAACAAAATAAATAAATGTATTTTTTCTAAAACAGTTTTGTGCCCAAGGTGTTGGGACACCCTGGTGGATTCTGAGCCCTGCGCACCCCCATACACCCCCTCTCCTAGGTCAAGGTGCAGCAGTGCCGCACAAGGGGGCAGCGAGCACGGACGGACCTACCCGAACCTCACCTGTGGGGCTTGACCCCACCACACCCCGCCCTACTCCCCCATTCCTCCACCACCCTGGGGTGGGCTCCGGAGTCCACGTGGGCGGACCACAAGTCCCAGACCACTTTGCGCGCAGGCAGAAGGCGCGACTGCAAATCCCAGGCTGCCTTGCGCAGGAGGGCGGGGGCGGGGGCGTGGGCGGGGGCGTGGGCCGGCTTAGGGGGACAGTGGTTGTGGGGGCGTGGCGGGGGAGGGACTACAACCCCCAGGCTGCCTTGCGCGGGAGGGCGGGGGCGGTGGCGGGGGCGGTGGCGTGGGCCGGCTTAGGGGCCAGTGGTTGTGGGGGCGTGGCGGGGGAGGGACTACAACCCCCAGGCTGCCTTGCGCGAGGGGGCGTGGCGGGGCGTGGCGGCCGGTGGGTGCGGCGGCGGCGCGGGCGGGCGGGCGCGGGGCCGGCGGCGGCAGTGGGCGCGCGGCGGGCGATGCCGGGGCCCCGCGCGGACGAGGGCGGCGGCGGCGGGGCGGAGGCCGCGGGGCCGGCGCGGGAGCCGGCGCGCCTGTGCGGCTACCTGCAGAAGCTGTCGGGCAAGGGCCCGCTGCGCGGCTACCGCAGCCGCTGGTTCGTGTTCGACGCGCGGCGCTGCTGCCTCTACTACTTCAAGAGCCCGCAGGACGCGCTGCCGCTCGGCCGCCTGGACATCGCCGGCGCCTGCTTCAGCTACGACGGCCCCGACGAGGCGGCCGAGCCCGGCGCCGAGCCGCCCGCGCACTTCCAGGTGCACAGCGCGGGCGCCGTCACGGTGCTCAAGGTGGGAGCCGCCGGCCGCCCCGCCCCGCCTGCCCTCCGCCGCTCCCGCCCCGGCCCGCGGCCGCGTACCGAGCCGGCACCCGGGGGCCCCTCCCCGGGCCCCCTACCCTCCCCGGGCCCCCTACCCTCCCGCACCCCGGGGTGTCCCGTGCGCCCCTCCCCGGCCCCCTCTGCCCTCCCGCACCCCGGGGTGTCCTGTGCGCCCCTCCTCGGGCTCCCCTCTGCCCTCCCCGGGCCCCCTACCCTCCCGCACCCCGGGGTGTCCCGTGCCACCCTCCCCGGGCCCCCCTCTGCCCTCCCGCACCCCGGGGTGTCCCGTGCGCCCCTCCCCGGGCTCCCCTCTGCCCTCCCCGGGCTCCCCTCTGCCCTCCCGCACCCCGGGCTGTCCCATGCGCCCCTCCCCGGGCCCCTCTGCCCTCCCCCGGCCCCTCTGCCCTCCCGCACCCCGGGGTGTCCCGTGCGCCCCTCCCCGGGCCCCTCTGCCCTCCCCGGACCCCTCTGTCCTCCCGCACCCCGGGGTGTCCCGTGCGTCCCTCCCCGGGCCCCCCTCTGCCCTCCCCGGCCCCCCTCTGCCCTCAGGTATCCCGGGGTGTCCCGTGCCACCCCCCGCCCCGGCGCTCAGGGCTGCATGTGACCTTGGCCGAGTGCATTCACTTCCTGTGCCTCGGTTGCCCCGTCTGCGGAGCGTGTGTTTGGGGGGGACCCCGGGGGTGCAGGGCGCAGCTGGTGAATGGGGCGCCCGCCCAGTGCTCGGGTCTGAGTGGCAGGTCCCCCGCTGCGCCCCGCAGCCATGGGGGCAGCGCCCCTATTCTCGCTCCTCCTCGTGCTGGCTGGGGAGGCGGGATGGCAGAAAGGGGGTGTCCCCGGGGCCTGAGGGCCTCCCCCCCCCCCCCCCCGGCCCTGGGAGCCCCATCATCGCCGAGGGGCCCTCCTGCTGTGAGTGTGGGGCCACTCTGCCCCTGCTGCCTGCCAGCCTGGAGGGGGGAGGCCTCCTCCTCTCTTCCTCCTCTCTTTCTCTTTCTCTCTCTTTCTGCTTTTTTTCCCTTTTCTTCTCTCCCCTCTTTCTCTCTCTCTCCCTTCCTTCCCTCCTTCCTTTCCTTCTTTCTCTCCCCCCTCCTCCGGAAGCTGGCTCTCTCCAGAGCAGCGGCTGGGCTGGGGCCTTGGGGCGGAGGACAGCTTTCTGCAAATCCGGCCAAGTGCAAGGCTGTGCCTCCAGCCCCCTGGGCCCCGCGCTCCTGCAGGACTGAGCCCCAGTCTCAGGGCTGCTCCCTGGGGCGTCCTTACAGACCCCCACCCCCCCTCTAAGGGGGCGCAGGCACCCCGAGTCTGCCAAGGAGCTCGCAGGGTCCCCGTCCGGCCTGGCCCGCCCCGGCCTGCATAGAAAGCACACGTGTGAACTTGAGTGTCTGACCCCGTGTGTGCGCGCCGGGGACTCCTGCCAAGGAGGGGCCCGTCCGCCAAAGCGTTTCCCGGGGAAATGTTTGTTAAAGGGACAGCCGCATCCTGTTAGGGTTTTGGTCTCGTGTAAAAACTCTTTGGCCCGGGCCGGTGTGGCTCAGTGGTTGAGCGTCCTAGGAACCAGGAGGTCAGGGTTCGATTCCCGCTCAGGACACAGGCCGGGGTTGTGGGGTCCTTCCCCGGCGTGGGGCGTGCAGGAGGCGGCCGATCCATGATTCTCTCTCATCATGGATGTTCCTCTCTCTCTCTCTCTCTCCTTCTCTCTCTCTCTCTCTCTCTCCCTCTGGGGAGGAGGGAGTGGAAACGAGCGATTTATCTTCCTTTTCCCCTTTCCAACGCAAGCAGGGCTCTGCCAAGCGTTCAGTGCAGGCTCTTCGGCCTTAGGGGAACCCCGATTCCTGAGGGGCCTGTAGGGGAGGGAGGAGGGGCCCCCGCTCAGGCTCCGGGGCGCTGCCTGTTCCTGTTCCAGGTCCCGCGTCTCCGGGCAGATGGGTTAGAGGGAGAAGGGCGAGCACTCGGCAGTGCGCTGATGGTATTCACATGTGGTTCTGGTTTTAAGCCCCCCGCCCCCCGCCTTCCCCGAGCAGCTGTGGTTTGTGGGGCTGTGTTAGTGCTTGAGTCTGGATGTAAGCTGATCCCGGAATTTCTTGGTAAGCCGCTCCGTCCCGAACGCGGAGATCTGGCCCGGCGCCTTGTGTTACAGACGAGGGAACGGGGGTCGGGGAGGGGCCCGGCTTTCCCTGCCGCCCCGAACCCGGACCCGGGCCGGGCCCCCTGGGAAAGGACGGAATAGAGAGGGTGTGATTGTGTTATCTCTCTGGACACATCTGTGTTTTTCTTTTTTTTAATTTTTTTAATACACACACACACACACACACACACACACACACACTGAGTGGCCAGATTATTATGTTATCATGATCTCAGAAGGCATAAAACCTGGCCACTCAGTGTATGTATATATACTAAAAGTTCGGTGCATGAATCCGTGCATGGGTGGGGTCCGGCCAGCCTGGCCAGGGGGAGGGGACATGGGCGGTTGGCCGGCCTGCCTGCTGGTCGGACTCCTGGTCGAGGGGATCATGTGCAAATTAGCCTTTTATTCTATAGGATAGACACGCAGTGGACATGTTATTATGTGTTCAGAGATCATCATCATCTGGCTACTCGGTGTATATATATTTTATTGATTTCAGAGAGGAAGGGCGAGGGAGAGAGAGAAAGAAGCGTCCGTGATGAGAGAGAATCACAGATCGGCTGCCTCCTGCACGCCCCACATTGGGGATCAAGCCCGCAACCCAGGCCTGTGCCCTGACCGGGAATCGAACCCTGATCTCCTGGTTCCTAGGTCGACACGCTCAGCCCCTGAGCTACGCCGGCCGGGCCTCAGCCCCCTTCCTGAAGGCGCCGGGTGCCCCCGTGAGCATGTGTGTTGGTTTCCGAGTCACACGCAGCTGAGTAGTCACGTGCTCCTGTCCCAGAGCCTCGGGGTGGGGAAAATGAGGCGCATTCCCCGGTGCTGACGCTGTTCTGGCTGCAGGACAAGCATTCGTCAGCCCGGGCGAGCGGTCCGGTGTGTCCGTCCAGGACGGAGGGTGGGCTGGCTGCCCCGCCCTGCACATCTGCTCCAGGCCTGGAAATACTGTCTTTTTTTTTTTTTTTTTAAATATATTTTATTGAGCCGAGACTGGTTTGGCTCAGTGGATAGAGCGTCGGCCTGCAGACTGAAAGGTCCCGGGTTTGATTCCGGTCAAGGGCATGGACCGTGGTTGCAGGCACATCCCCAGTAGGGGGTGTGCAGGAGGCAGCTGGTCGATGTCTCTCTCTCTCTCATCGATGTTTCTAACTCTCTATCCCTCTCCTTTCTTCTCTGTAAAAATCAATAAAATATATTTAAAAAGGAAAAAAAAGAAAGTTGTTTACAAATATATATATATGTTTTATTGATTTTTTACAGAGAGGAAGAGAGAGGGATAGAGAGTTAGAAACATCGATGAGAGAGAAACATCGATCGGCTGCCTTTTGCACACCCCCTACTGGGGATGTGCCCGCAACCAAGGCACATGCCCTTGACTTGAATCGAACCCGGGACCTTTCAGTCCGCAGGCCGACGCTCTATCCACTGAGCAACACCGGTTTCGGCAAAACTGTCTTTTTAAAAATATATATTTGTAATGATGTCAGAGCGAAATGGAGAAAAACACCCATGATGAGAGAGAATCATGGATTGGCTGCCACACGGGGGATCGAGCCTGCAACCCGGGCCTGCGCCCTGACCGGAATCAAACCGTGACCTTCAGGTTCATAGGTCAATGCTCAACCACTGAGCCACGCTGGCCAGGCCTCCTCCTCCTCTTCTTCCTCCTTTTCCTCCTCCTTTTCCTCATCTTCCATCTTTTTCTTTTTTTAAAAAATAACAGTATTTCCCTTTTTTATTATTATTATTGGGTTTTTTAAATTTTTATTTATTTATTTTTTTAAAATATATATTTTATTGATTTTGTATAGAGAGGAAGGGAGAGAGATAGAGAGCTAGAAACATTGATGAGAGAGAGAGTCATCGACCAGCTGCCTCTTGCACACCCCCTACTGGGGATGTGCCCGCAACCAAGGTACATGCCCTTGACCGGAATCGAACCCGGGACCTTTCAGTCCCCAAGCCGACGCTCTATCCATGGAGCCAAACCGGTCTCGGCTCTTGGGTTTTTTTTAGAAAGAGCTGAAAGAAGAGGGAGAGGCAGAGAGAAACATCAATGTGAGAGAGACACCTCTTGCCTCCTACTGCGCCCCCAGAGCCGGGGATCCAGCCCTGCAATCCAGGTCCATGCCCTTGAACAGAATCGAACCCTGGACCCTTCAATCCGCAGGCTGGCGCTCTATCCATTGGGCCACACCGGTCAGGGCGATTCTCTCTCACGTTTTTAAACAGATATATTGTTACCGACTTCAGAGAGGAAGGGAGAGGGAGAGAGAGAGAGAAAAACATCAATGAGGAAAGAGAATCCTGGAATTGCTCAGCTTCATTCTGCACGGCCTCCCCCATCCCCTCCCCTCACACACACACACACACACTGGAGTTGAGCCCGCAACCCAGGCTTGTGCTCTGACGGGGAACCGAAAGAACCTCCTGGTTAATAGGTTGACGCTCGACCATTGAACCACACCAGCCGGCCTCTCTCATCATGGATGTCGCTCTCTCTCCTTTCATCTCTGAAATCAATCTGTAATAACAAAAGTGTAATATGTTAATTAGATCGGACGTCCTTCCAGGGAATCTTCCGGACGAAGCCAGGGTACGAGGGAAGCCTGGGTCCCGGGTGCCAGAGGGAAGCCGGTGCTGGCAGCGGGGGAAGGAAGGCCTGTTCTCGCACAAATCTCGTGCATCGGGCCTCTAGTTAAAATATATTTCTTTTTTTTTAATTTTTTTAAAAAAATTATTTTATTGATTTTGTACAGAGAGGAAGGGAGAGAGATACAGAGTTAGAAACATCGATGACAGAGAGTCATCGATCAGCTGCCTCTTGCACACCCCTTACTGGGGAT